ACCAGAGCTTAATATTATGTAAAATAAGAATCATCCTGAAATACTTCACACCCAAGAGAGCGGCGCCAACACAAATAAAAATTAAAGTCGAAGAACTAAACACGAAATCCACAGAATACTTATACAGAAATAGAATATCAGAGAAGATCGCTGGGAACGAAATATTAGAAAACGATAACATCGAGGAATTAAATATTTCCCTATTCTAGAAAGCTGACTGTTTATCTTCATCCCTTTTTTTTTTCTCGCTGCATCTTTTCTTTCGAGGTGTTTGTGATGGGATTCGCGGTTTAAAACCTTTTCGTCATCTGGACTACCATCATAAGTGACACAAACTTTGCAAATGTCTTTTTTCGGCTTGTAAAATTTCATAAATGTGACACATTCGTCAGTTTGCGTTATACAAATATGCCTTTAGTTAACAAAACAAAAGTATCGAATATTTCATTTTCGCCAGTTTGCAGTATATTCGATATTTTGACCACAACAAAATGACAAAATGTTCATATTCGATAGCTTAAACAAAATATTTCCCGCGTTCCTTATCAAGCTACAATTTGGATATTTTGCTACAAGGTGTATCACCTCTAATGCAAGGACAAGGTATCGAATCTGAAAATCCCGATTTTTCACATTTGATAGTTGGAAATGATAGGGACGATATGGAACAATCACAGATTCTACAGTATTTCTGAGAAAGTTAAATCCATTATTGAAGAATGAAATAAATATTGATTAATATGCAGATGATTAATATGCTGATATGCAGATTTTATATTATAATATGATCGAGAATAAAGCAAAGTGCAAATGAGACCTTACCTTTAAAACTTAACATTTTAGATAAGAAAACAATTACAAATGGATTCACTTCAAAACTGTCGTTGTTAAACATTTTATTTCGATTGTTTCTAGTTGTTAGATTATATAACAAACATATAATTTATTTACTTGTAATTTCGTAATTATTCTACAAATACTTGCAATTAAAAGTTACTGGTAAAGTCATTTGAAATGTCCTGTTAATAATGGATCATTATTTGAGTATAATTTGTAGTTAAGCTTTGGTTTTAAATTTATTTGCGGATTGTTTTATTCGATCTCGAGATTTCAGCGAATATAGTCGGTGATTTTACTTGGAATACTTTTCTTACTATAATCAAAAGGTAAGTGGTCATAGTTTCATTTAGAGTACCTTGTAAGTACTGCATTCTTCGTTTTTAAATAAATATTCTGATGTGAATGTTTGTGTTATGCGAAAATGATCAAAATAAGTAGAATAAATCTAGAAACAAATTACTAATTCTGTCGACCAATTACCCAAAAATTTTTGTTTTCTTGCTCTTATTAACCTATTTATACTCGTACTTTTCTTATAATAATGAAACCTAAAATTAAAATTTGAAGAAATTCGAAGCAGTTTTTTCATACATAACACACTTTTTAACTGTTTTTTATTTGTATTAAATTTAATCATTTCTACTATACAATGCTAGTAAGACAAAAACTTTTCGATGGACTAATTCCCTAATAAATTTTGAAAACTAGTTTTCGACCTCTTTTTAACTTTTTTGTGTTAATTGTTCATTTAATAAATTTTCTTCCATACCTGCCTCAGTACTTTTCTTTTCATTTTCTTTATGACATTTTCTTTATCACTACTCTGTCTGATGAAGGTTCATAATGTGGATCTTGGATTGAACAATCCAAGTCAAAATCTTGTAAATCAGGAATAGTCGTAATATCTTTAGTCTGAGCTGGCTAAATCGAACAACTTGCGCCAACAATAATGTTTGAATCATCTTTTGGTGTTGAAATATAAGCAAAACAAGGGAATTCTCTGAAACAACAAAATTATAAATTTAACATCCTTCAAATTCCAAAATACTAATAAAACATTATCTAAAGGTTTACTTTGCTTCTAGCTAAAGTAATTACCTCTAAATTGGTAGGCATTCATTCATAATAATAATTAGTTGAAAATATGAGCAAAAAAACATTATTTACTCATTTAAATGGAAATATGCCACAATTAGAGATTAACATACGTTTATTGACGTTTCAATTTCCACTTCGGAAATCGCGGACGATTTTCGAAGTGGAAATTGATACAGCTTCTAAAGTTAGATTAGAAAGTGTTGATAAGGCATCACCTTGTCTAACTTCATTTTCAATATCAAAGGCCTGCGTCATATCTCCATCTATTCTCACCATAGCTTTGGAACCCTCCCGAGTCATTCGTATAAGTTTAACCAACTTATTGGGTATCCCTAACATACATAGTTGCTTTAATATCCTTTGTGGATCTACTCCATTAAACGCCTGCTTGAAATCGATATACAAGTTGTAAATAGGTATGTTATATTCAACACATTTTTCATGTATTCCTTTTAACATATGTATTTGGTCTATAGTTCACCTCTTTGGTCTGAAGCCACATAGGTATTCACCAATTATCTCCTCCGAAAACGATTCCAGGCGGCTGTGTATAATTCCTGATAATATCTGGTAGACGACATTTAAAGCTGTTATGCCCCTATAATTTTTGCAGAGTCGTTTGTCTCCCCCTTTGTACATAAAAAGTATGATTCCTCCTTTCCAATCTTCTGGATTGACTTCTAGTGTCCATATACGGTCGATTAGTTTAGGGATACGCCTCCATAGCGCATGTCCACCATTCTTTATCAGTTCTGCAGTTATTCCATTTTTGCCAGATGCTTTGTTATTTTTTAGATGTTTTATGACATTTATCGTTTCTTTCAATGTTGGTTGCTCAACTAGTTGTTCTGCTGTATGATGAATTATTTCTTTATCTTCATTTGGTATTTTTCTATTCAACATATCTCTCTTTTTCCTTCTACATATTTTCTTTGCATCTTTTCTTCATATGCTCTTCTATTCAATAGAGAATCCCTTTGTAGACATTTTTGTCTAGCTGTATTCTTGCTATTTAATACTTGTTGGCAATCTTGGTCAAACCATTCCTCGTGTCTTTTGCTTGAGGTTTCACCTAATGTTTCCTTTGCCATATGTGTAATTGTCGTTTGGATGACATTCCATTCTTCTTCAATGTTGTTTTGTTCTTCTCTTTCATATAATATTACTTTTATTTTTTGCTGGTACTCATTCTTCTTTTTAGGATTTTTAAACATATATGTGTTCCATTTTCTTTGTTTGGCACCTTCCTCTTTTTTTACCATTGATATTCTTTGTTTTATCTTCGATATAACCAAGAAATGGTCCGAATCGCAATTTGCACCTCTATAAGTTCTAACATCCGTTACGGAGGTTGCCCACCGCTTAGATATTAATATGTGATCAATTTGATTGAATGTATTAGTACCAGGTATTATCCAGGTTCCGTTACGAATATTTTTATGAGGGAAACACGTACTAACAACTATTAGTTTGTTTGCCATTGCCAACTGTGCCACTCTTATACCGTTGTTGCTGGTAATATCATATAAACTACGCTTACCAAAAGATTTTGCATATATTGGCTTTTTTCCCATCTTTGCGTTCATATCACTCAGGACTATCACTGCACCTTTCTTCTGTGCGTTTTCACATTCTACTTGTAGTTGGTCATAGAATTGATTGGTTACTAGTTCATCTGCTGCTTCTGTTGGGGCATGGATATTAATAATCGTAATATTATAAAATGTTCCTCTTAAACGTATTTTCCATATTCTTTACTGACCTGCGGCATTTATGGTTTACCATAAAACCTACTCCAAAATCTCCTTGTCTTCCTGCCCCACAGTAGTACATACTATATTCTTTTTTATTAATGCAACCATGCCCTTTAAATTTTATTTTTTGGAGGGTTGCTATGTCTACCGTTCAAAATTAGTTAACTGAAATTTATTCAATAGAATAACAAGGCTCAAGCAAAATTTCAGAAATTTTGCAAATATATACTCGTTTGTCGAATTTTAAAGATTTGCAAATTTTTGACCTTTTTGACTATTCAAAATGTAAGAGTTGCGCCAAAGAATTTCCAAGCTATCTGTTAGACAAGTAAATTAAAAATTATCTATATTTTTTTATAAAATAAAATTCGAAAATGAAATAAAAGTTTTATATACTGATCCAAATATTTTTGGAAGGTGGAAGTTACAATATATATATATATATATATATATATTATATATATATATATATATATATACTGCAATTCGTTACGACAAATTACCGCCAACTTCTGCCTCAAAACAACGGGTTTTCTCCTATCCAAAAAGAATCAAAACGTATTGTCGAAACCACCATGAAACAAGAGACAAACATTTCAAGTTCTAAATTTATTGAAAAAAAAAACAAAAATTCTCCTATGATGATTGAAAGCCTTTTCATTAGACATCTATCTGAGAAGACAAAAAAACCTTGCCGCCCCTGTCTCGAGCCACGAGCGGCCACTGTTTTCATGGATGTCCCGTTGTTGATCTCTGAAGCTTCAGTTCGAAATGTCCGATTTGTTTTTCTATTATTCCATTTATTATATGCTGCTTCAAATTTATGAATGTGATAAATGAGTCTTCTTCCTTTTCGTAAGTGTCTGCTTTTGCTTTAATGTCCACTAAGTCATTTATTTTTATTTTATAATAATTTCTTTAATATTTTTATATGTATATAATATATTTTCTAGCAGACTTGTATGATGCATATCTTTTATGAATGCATACATGATGCATACAATCTTATTTTGATAATTTATTGTTATTGATTTTTTCTGAATTTTTCTTCACGGGTCTAGTTTTTCGCACTAAACTATACAAAATATTGTGAGTCCTTGACCATATAAGTACTTTATTCGTTGAGTAATATAACATGCAAAACAAGTTGACTACACGTAATTATCCGTAATATGGTGTATTGAGATACATAATTATTATATCTATACTGACGCAATAATTGAATAGTAAAAAATTATTTAATTGGGTTGTTAATACCTACCACATATATTTCAAAACTGTATTTATCTATTTCGTTGCAGTTGAAAAATGAAAGAAATTCCAGTTGAGGAAATATACAAAAAAGACGATAAACTCAAAAAAGAAGATGTGCTGTCTTTAATGGAATGGATAGAAAAGCAGCCACATTTGCCTAAAATTTCAGGTAAGTAACTTTCATGGTTATGGTGGGTTGGACTCTCTCTGTCTTTATAACCGATTCTTCATCGTTTACTTTCCAAAAACTACAGATGCTACTTTTATATTTTATTGAATATCTTAACAATTACAAAGATAACCCATATCGGGTTGAGATAAAGTTTAAGCAACATTGCGTTCTGCATTTGCACGGTGTCAGCTATTGAATAACTTCTTGTCTTCTATTTATATCATTCACTTAAAGACAGACTTTGTGTTGTTTATACAAAGTCATATGTGTGTGTGTGTGTGTGTGTGTGTGTGTGTGTGTGTGTAAATAAAATCGAGCAAAACGACAAAAGAGGGAATCTAATCGTTATGAAAAGGAGACCAAAAAAGTGGCCTCTGATGGCGGACATATCCGGAAATGCAAAGGCGCTAAATTTAAATTTTCCGACACTTATTAACAATAGCTATAAAATATTTTTCAGACGAGAAAACTTTAATTAAACATTAACGATAATAGTCTAAAAAGTGACACAATTTGTAAAAAACTTTAATATAAATAAAATTTCATGTGACAGTTGGGACAAACAATAACATAACCAAAGTAAATTTGATTTCTTAAACAAGGAAAAAGACTGTCTTTCCTTGTTTAAAGTGGCCTCTCAAGATAACACTCCCTGTCTACATGTCCCCACTACATTTACATTCCCTCTTTTGTCTTTTTGCTCGATGGTAAATACTCAATGTTTTTCTATATCAAACGTACTTTAGTGTTTACCTATATTTCCTCTTCAACATCACATTTTGTCATTGAACTAAATTATTACCAATTTATTAATTTGGCAATTAACGTGAATATTTAATATATCTATGTTATAATAATAAGAAAATTAAAAGTAGTAGTATCTTGAACAATTTAACTTTTGTCACTAAAAAAGTGGTTAAATAATTGTTTGTTTTCTAAATGTATGTCAAATGCAACAAACACTTCTTCAGTATATACATATATACATATATATGTATATATGTATAGTATATACATACCTATATAGAAAAGGAGACGATTGCATTTCTTTTCAATTCGAACTCCACCATTGTCCTACACGTGCTTCGAGGTTTCACTTCTCATCAGGAACACCTGTGCAATATACTTCACCGCGGGTGTCACAAATGCATATTTGCAGTATTAACTGCCACTGTGGCACTGTCTGGTATTCTGTTACACTTAGTCCATCTTACGTACATTCCGAAACATTAATCTTAGTCGCTACATAGTTCGTCACACGAAAGATCATTGTCTGAGCAATCAATCGGATCGGCTTCAAAATCCTCACCCAAGTTGATTATAATTTGATCAAAAACGACATCGAATTGCGGTTCTTTTGTCACAAAGTTATCCTCAATCGAAATAATTTTATCACAAACTTGTTTCCCATTATTCTGCAAAAAATTTGTCAAAGAACTCATCGCATAATTTGGTGACGTCATTTAATTTAAGCTAACATTTTTTGATCCAACAAAATTGTTCAGTGCCGCCCATACCAGTGCAATTGGATTTAGATCGGGATGATAAGGAGGCAATCTTAATACCTCGTGTCCAAAACTGGTAATCACAGAATCAATGGAATATTTAACAAATTGAGGCTTATGTAATTTAATTGATTCGTAGAGATCTAACCGAAGTATATCCTCGGTGTACGGTGTATTTCGTTCTCTAAGCCACATTTGCATCTGCTTTTCGAGATGCCGAAGTTGGAAGTTTATCCTCTCGTTTGTTTTGGTATGGTGCATTATCCAACACAAAAACGTAAGCTTTTCTGTAAGGCACTTGTGATAGTTTTCATAATTCATATCGTCGTGGTAGTCTCCAGTGTTAGATTGGGATTTTCATCTCAGATACAAATCCTTGACGAATCCAGTAGCAACAATGATAAATATATTTTCTTTAGATACTTGCTTCCTCAAACCGTCGGGACTGTTATCACTCCAATTATATTCTTTTAAATAATTTGAATGCAAGTGTGTCTCAGCTGTAAAAACAATTGTTCGCTTTTCGCTGCTAAATTGTTTAATTTTTCTAAGATAATCTGGTGTTAATTTCCGAATTTTTTGTTTTTCTGTAAGTAATTTTTTGGTTGTTTAACTATATACCTTGTCGCAACTAAAAGATAAACAAATGAACTATACAGCAAGTTATGAAATCTACTTTATACAAGGGATATTTGTAATATAAGATTACGATACTTTCATACATTAGTTACAGTTATCCATAAAAAGGAACATTTTAAAAACCATACACAGCACACGTAGTATAACAAATGAATTGTTAAGAATAACTAAGTCTAATAAAAATATACATGCAAGATTTACATATCATCTAGCCTCAAAAGCTTACAATTTATACGCCTTACTATTAGGAAGACTAAAAACTATAAAAACTTATCACTTCAGTCTAAACTGTTCATAAATCATAACTATTATCATCATCAGTGGCATTACAGCTCGTCATGAGCCAAAGCCTTCTTCAGAACGATCTTCCATTCGCCCCTGTCTCTGGCAACTTGTCTCCATGCTTTAACTCCGATGGATTTTAGATCATCCTCTATGTTATCTTGATACCTAAACTTCCTCTGGATCGTTTTCCCACTGGTCCTGTTCGTAGAAAAATTTTTCTGTTCGTTGCATCTTCATCTCGCCTAATTACATGTCCTATCCATCGAAGGCGTGCTAATTTAATACATTTTACAACGTCAGGTTCCCCAAAACTTCTGTATAACTCAAAGTTGTAACGCCTACGCCACAAACCCTGTTCTTGGACACCTCCATATATTTTCCTCAGATTTTTTCTCTCGAAACTTTTAAGCAGTTCTTGGTCGTTCTATGTAAGTGACCACGTTTCTGACCCATATGTTAACACTGGCCTTATTAGTGTTTTATATATGGTAATTTTAATTTTTCTGGGTAGTTTTGGGGCAATCTATTTCCTCAAGCCATAATAGCACTTATTGGCAAGCACTACTCTTCTTGTAATTTCTTCGCTGACATTGTTGTCTTTGGTGAGTAGCGAGCCCAGGTAGATGAAGGTGTCCACACCTTCCAGTTCCAGATCGTCAATTAATAGTCTAGGTATCTGGTTGCCTGATCTAGTACAATACATATACTTGGTTTTCTGTACTTTTATTTTTAATCTTATTCTCATTGCAGATGCCCTTAATGATCGAAATGCTTTGATCAGAGATTCTGTGGACCTATCAATAATGTCTATGTCATCTGCATATCCGACCACTTGTACAGATTTATTAAGGATGGTGCCATTCGTATTAATATAAAGATTAAATAAAAGTTAAATAAGAGGCACGACACTCCATCTACCTGTCTCAGTTGATTTTTACAATAGAAGTTTCTTGAAAAGTCGTTTTGGATTCTGACTACACTCTCTACGCCTGCGAGTGTAAGTTCCGTTAGTCGGACAAGATGAAGCGGCTTTTGAAATTCCACCATAGCCTGCAGAAGTTTTTGTCTGTTGACTAAGTCATATGCGGCATTGAAATCCACGAATATGTGGATGTGGATGTCGGTGGGTGTGGACTCCGAACTCAAGCGTTTTCTCAAGAATCTGCCTGACTGTGAAGATTTTATCGGTTGTTGATTTATTGGGTCGGAAACCGCACTTATAGATGCCTCTATAATTATCACACACCATTATATCTCCTTTTTTGTGAAGAGGGTGCATTACACCTAATTTCCAGTCTGCGGGCGTTTCCTTCCGTAGCCAGATTTCGGTTATTAATTTATGCATGTGTTTAAGAAGGGTGTTACCACCATTTTTAAAGAGTTCGGCAGGAAGATTGTCCAAACCAGGGGCTTGGTTATTTTTCAGTTTTGAAATAGCTTTTCTAATTTCTTCTTCGGTATCTGGTCTTTGTCACTAATTATGGAACCATCTCTGTCTTTACATGCTGTTATTCTGGGTTTGAATTCTTTTCTGCAGCTGTTTATTTTCTGGTAGAATTTTCGCGAGTCTTTCTTGTTGTGGTGGTTAACAATCTCGTTTTGAGTGTTTTTGTATGACTTTTTCTTTTTCTTTCTAAACGTCCTTTTTTTTTCATCTAAGATTTTCATAGTCTTCTGGTTTGATCTCGTTCTGTGCTGCTGAAGTTTCTTGTATGCTTCATTTTTCTGTTGGTTAATGGATCTACATTCTTCGTCAAACCAATCTTTGTTTATTTGAGCCTGGTTAGGTTTTAAAAAGCCTTTAGCCGCTATATGGATAGTTTCTTTGCATTTGGTCCAGTGTTCTTCTATATTTAAATTTTCGTCTATTCTTGTCAGCTCTTCATTTAAAATTTTTCTGTAGTTATCCTTAGCGTCTTCAGATTTTAGCACATCAATATCATATTTTGTAGATTTTGTGATCTGGGCCTTCTTAGCGTTTGATATGCGAGCCCTGAGTTTTGAACTTACAAGGTAGTGGTCAGAGTCTATATTAGCACCTCTACATGCTCTTACATCTAGTACATCCAAGAAATGTCGACTGTCAATTAGTATATGGTCAATTTGGTTTTTTGTTTGACCGTCTGGTGATTGCCATGTGGCTTTATGAATATTTTTATGAGGAAAACATGTACTTACTACCACCATTCCCAATGATGCTTCGAGTTCAATCAGGCTAAGCCTGATGATAACTATAACTCAATTATAAAAATTTTTAATTGATGATTTTACTTTTATTTAAAACTAAACAATGAATCATTTACGTATTAAAGTATTATGAACTCCTAGCCGACAGCAATACAAATGAGCATTTTTCCACTTTTTTTCCACTTTTCAATTTGTTCTACGCGCAACCCGCCAGCTCTCGCTTGTCGGTTGTAGTAGTTCAAACTGTTGCCGTTATAGTAACATAACATGTGTGAGTCCTCTAGTACCGACCTCTATATGAAGCAACAAGAAGTAAGGAGACTTCTCTTCAGTGGCGATTAAAGTAAACAATAAATACAAGCTTAGTAAAAGCGATTGGACGATGTTAGGAATAACTTTTTAATTCGGCAGAAAATCTACAGTTTACTCTTGAAAACATCATACTCTTACGTAGAGGAAATATGTTGACAAGTCGACGATAGTATTTCTTTTCATTTCGTGCTTCATCATTATACCTTGATCACAGATACAAAAGACTTTTTATATCTTCTCTTTACATATTTATAAAAAGTTGTTTTTTGTAATAGTCCAAAATGTCTCTTTAAAATTTACACAGTATATTCTTAAAAACTGTTTGTTTTAGAACTGCAGATAGCACTTTTTCTCCATAGTTGTTATTATAGCAATGAAGCTGCCAAATATACCATCGATACATATTTTACTGTCAAAACGTTATGTCCTGATATTTTTGGATCCAAAGATATTAAAAACGATTATTTACTTCAAAGAGCAATGAAAACTGTGTAAGTACAAGAAAAAAATTGTAGAATTAAAAAAAGTATCAGTTGGATAACTGTGCAAATCCCGTAAAGACGTGATAAAAACGTATTTGCGAGATTTTCGCAGTTGTGGATTGATTAGTAGTTACAAAAATATGAAAAAGCATGAGAAATTATTTTTAGTATACTCCAGTCGTCAGAGACGAAAATGCCACTGTACCTCAAAAAATCATACGAACAAGCTGAATTATGCCAAGAATGTCAATTTTTGGACGCCAAAAAAGATGCAAAAAACTTTACCACTTTTTTTACTCTCGGGTTTCCCCCTAAAATCCTCATCTTAGAGGGGTGAATGGAAAAAACTCAGGATCATTAGCGTTATCTATTATAATCAGATCGATGTGGTAAAAGAGAACAACGTCTTTTCAAATGAAATACAAATTGTAAGTCAGGCAGGGCTGTGTCCTGTCTCCTACTTTGTTTAATTTGTATTCAGAGAAAATAATCCGGGGCCGGGGAGTAAACCTCTACGCACGGAAAACAGCTGTTTCAGTTTCCAGCTGTTCTCCGTGCGTAGAGGTTTACACCCCGGCTCTGGAACTCAATTCTACAATGTATGTTACCTGAAGTCATATTTAATTTAATACTGAACATCACAGTTTTTTAACAAGATGTATAATCTTTTATAACTATATGTAATTTAAAGGGTTTTTACCCATGTATTTTGGTGGCTCAGGCATTTTAACCTAGCGATTTTAAACCTGATGATGGACTGTTTAGTCCGAAAACGTTTGTTTTTTTTTTAAGGATTTTTTAAATAAATATACTTTCTTTTATCTTTTAAAACCTTTTAAAATGGCAAAAACTTACAAGACTAACAGTCATAAGATCAATAGTAATATACGGTAGCAAGATGTGGATGATAACAAAAGTCAGACGAAAAGTGTTACGTGTTTGGAAAAGAAAAATCATGCAGAAGGTCTCTGGTCCAGCGATTGATGGTACAACAGAATAATATAGGATAACGACTAACAAATAGTTGAAAGAACTACATGCAGGCGTCAACATAACAAAAGAAGTAAAGACCAGAAGACTTAGAAGACATTCTGACGATCGAATAGTAAGACTGTATGGAAAGTAGTCCCAGTTGGAAAAAGACCAAGTGGACAACTTCAAATTTGGTGGCGAGATAACAGGAGATCTTAAAGCTATGGGCGTGAAGGACAGGATGAATATTGCCCAAGTTGGAAAGAAATGATGGTATGTTTTGAAGTTGATTTAAACCTACCCACGATTTTAGCGCTACGGAGTAAGGAAGTTTATTGGGTAGTTGAAACAAAACATCACAGAAGAAATTGGAAAAAGAGTTCAAACAAGTATGTTTCTTGATTATACCGGGAATGTAAAAATAGATGCAAAAACACTTCTGTAATTAATTTTGATAACAACATGAAAAATGTAATATAAATATAATAATCAGGTAGCTAGTAAACATTATTTCTGAAGGGAAAATTAAAATCACTTTGAAACACAATATGAAGTAGTAAATAATTATATTCAAAATGTGTAATTTTACAAAAATCACCTTTTTTGTTAAAACCTAATAATACAGCCAATAAGTAATACATTCCATTATTATGGACCACACTGTATAAATGAATAAGTTTTTAATGATCATTCTTAATGCAGTTAATCATAGCAAAATATAAAAATATATTCGATTTTAACAACATGTTTGACTTATTTTTTCAACATCTTTATCAACTTTTACAACTAAATAAAGTATTTAAAATAATTAAAAATATTTTTTTAGATTTGTTGGTCCTATTCGTGAACCTTCGACGAATGATATAATTCTGTTTGGAAAGCTGATGGACTGCAATCCAGATAACTACGGGTTTGCTCCCCAACTGAACTTATTTGATTTGACTACCATAATAGATTATATCGAAAACGGACCAGCCGATGGTTGTCATATTGTGATAGATATGAAGGGAGTCGTTTTTGCACATTTTCTTAAACTCAATCCAGTTGTTATGAAGAAATTTTTATATTATTTACAGGTAAAGTGTTAATCTTTTTGTAGCGCTAGCTGATTAACTCTAATTCACTCGAAAATAACTACCGTTATACATCGTTCCACTCAGCTCAGAAAGGTAAAGAAAAGATAAGAAAAATTAATATAAAAGAAAACAAGAAAATCACATATCACTACAAAAAGAAATAACACTTTGTTGTCGTGGAAAGAATGTAATTATGAAGAAATCATGATTCACAAAAATTTTGGAATCATTTAGCTGCAATTGCCTAAATATAAGCAATCAACAACCAAAATTACTCTAGAGCAGGGGTTCCCAACGTCTAGCAACTGCGTAGAGAGTATATCACCTAAATGTTTTTAAAGATTTAGGCATACCACCATACCTCTCTCCTAATTACATTCTGTTTATAAAAAACCCATTTTCTATCAGAAACATGTCCATTATATATTTTATTTTTATTAAATTAGTAATAAAACTTTATATTTAATTATTCATTGACTTTTCCATTAGCTTTCTAGAACATTAAAACAATGATACTACAAGATCCCACTGCAGGATCAAAACGTTGGGAGAATACGTTGATAATCGGTTGCCAGTGAAAAACTGACCACAAATATTTTTTATTCAATTAAAAGTAATTTTTACAAATTAGTTTTTTGCAAATATTTTATTTCATTCATTTATTTTTTAAATAAAATACGCTGCTCATGACGTATATATGCATTTTATTATATCAAATTAAAGTTATTTGTTTTTAAAGTTAATTTGTCTGGTAGAAAATGGTCGAAAATTATTGTTGTCACCTGTTAAAAACTCGAGGTATCAAAGATAAAATAATACCTTAGTTTGAAGAGATGGGTGAAAATTTTCCCACGAGATCTCAGTTTTGTAAGCAAGAGATGAGTTTTGAACTTTCCATCTATATCCTCACACTTCAAAGAGAATAACTTTAAATTAAGAGCCCTAGACTTTATGAAGTTAATAATCTTCACAACATCGGTAAATATCGTGGATTAAACGATATTTACTTGGGAATTCAGAAATAAGTATTTTGGGCACATACTCATCAATCATGTTAAAAATGAGTTTCTCTCTACATATACAAGTAGCCGTGCCATGTTTATTACATCGGCGCAAAATTTGTGTATTTTTAAAGTTTTAAACACAGTTATTCTTTAATCTTGGAAAACATATCGGCAATTCGTTTCTTCACTATATTTTTTGATCATGTTAGTTTTTTATTTCTCTGACTGCCTTTTCTCCTAACATAGCTTGGACCTTCGATGAGGCTTTCCATCTTTTGCAATCCTAATTTCCTATTTTTGTAAAACATTATTCTAATATGTATATCTACGATGCCCATTTATATATCTAATAAAGTAACCAACCTGCCAGTTCAAGTTCACATAAGGTTAATTAATGTTATACTAATATTAAACATTTTTCGTTATACTAAGTACGAATTATATTGTCTATTTCGCGTTTTAATATTTAAGGGTTAAAACGCTAGTATAAGTACCACCGTTTGGGAACTCCTACTCTAGAGCAAAGCTTTATATAGTTGAATGGATAAACAGCAATAAAGGCAAAAAGCAATACATTTTAAGGCTTAAAAATCTTGAAATAAACAGAAATTATGACAGGCTTTTAATTATGATTGGTCAAGCACTAAAATGGCATCTGTGTATAATTAGATTGCTGAGATATGGCTTATGAGACACAAGCATAGGCACATGTTAAAAATATTTAAAAATATGTTAATATTAAAACTATTTTTAGGAAGGAATGCCGATAAGACTGAAAACCTTTCACTTTATTAATATTGTATCGTTTATGGACAAAATTTTAGCCTTAATGAAACCGTTTATGAAGAAGGAACTGATTGATGCGGTATGTATAAATTATTGATAGTTCTGACGGTAATAAAATATGTTTTATATTTGAAAATACTATTAAACAAAAATTAAATTTCCAAATTTGTTTTATGCAGCAATCAATTCATTCTGCGTTTTCTGTACAATACGTGGTGACTTCTCAAATTTAATGTACATTGTAGGTATTCTTTCAAATAAACTTTTATATATTTTAGGTTAATCGGATTTAAATATTTTGTAAAACCCACAAGAAAACTAAAGTAGTTGTATACAGTAACTGTAGTTGGCTGTCTACCATGTTTTTTTTTATTTTTAATTATTTCATAAAAGTCTAATAATAAAAACCATATCGGGCTACATTACAGAAGGGTTTCTAAATAACTATTCCATCATCAGTGCTATCTGAACGTACATGTTTGAAGCCACTAAATATGTGAGAGTTGCTATCAACAAGTCTCACTTTAACTATTCTGACGTTTTGGCAACGTTGTGGCGGTCTGACGTCGTAAATCTTGAATGGCGTGCAAAGCGAAACCTGGAACTAATTGATCAGTAAGGAGTACGTTATGAATATGTAGTTTTGTGTTCAACTTCAATTTATTTTTCAAACAGTCGTCTTAAAGTCATAAGGTTGAAGAGAGATGGGCGTTTCTCGACATTAGTTAGTTCTTTACGAAAAAAAAGTACATTTTATACTCTCTTCCGAGGCGCCATTTCTGCGAATATCGGGTGGGTGTGGGGTCATTTGTGACCCGATGGTAAGCTATGAAATGAAGTTAAGTTATGTCTGCAGAAACGCAGCTTTTACTACAGAATGTGACAGGCCTTTCGTTAAGAATCGTAATGTAGCAATGAGAGATCCATAAGCTGTTCTGCAAATATTATAAATAGTATTGTTTCCCGTTTTTAGCTTGGCAGATAATAATTCAAGATGACAGAGTTTGGATGCAAGGATAACATTGGAGATTCGCAGTTTGGGTTTCGGAATTCTCTTGGGACAAGAGAATCACTATTTAGTATACAGGTACTCATCCAGCGCTACAGAGATATGAACAAAGACGTGTACATATGATATATAAACTACGCAAAAGCATTGGATAACGTAAAGCACGAAAAGATAATTGAAGTTCTTCATAAGATCGGAGTCGACTACAGATACATTCGAACAATAGCGAGTCTCTATTGGGGTCAAACAGCTAAAGTGAAAGTAGGATATACATTGACCAATAAAATTGAGATCAACAAAGGGGTACGAAAGAAGTATTTAAGACAACGCTGGAGGAAAGCACAGAAGGCATAAAGATAAATGGAGAAATAATTAATAACGTAAGGTATACTAATGACACTGTGAGTCTAGCAAGTAGCATGGAGGAACTGAGTTGCCTAATGAGTAAGATACAAAAAACAAGTGCACAATACGGACTCAGACTAAATATCACAAAAACCAAATGGATGTTAATAAGCAAAACCCAACAACCACCACATCAACTGATATTAGACAATGAAAGAATTGAACACGTGGATTCGTACATCTACTTGGGAACAACAGTTAACTCAAATTGGGATCAAGCGAAGGAAATACGTATAAGAGTAGAAACGGCAAGAGCATCGTTCACTAGCATGAAGCAAATTTTCACCTTTAAAAGCCTCAACCTACCTCTTAAAATTCGACTTCTGAAATGTTATGTATTCCCGGTTTTGTTATATGGAATGAAGGCGTGGACAATGACCGCAACATTGATGAAAAAAGTAGAGGCCTTCGAAATGTGGGCTTACCGACGTATATTACGTATATCCTGGACTGAGCACGTGACCAACGAAGAGGTACTACGCCGGATAGGTAAAGAGAGAGAGGTAGGAATAAGTATAACGAAAAGAAAGTTGGAATACTTGGGTCACGTTATGAGACATAATAAATATAAAATACTACAGCTGATCGTTCAAAGGAAAAGAGACAGCAGAAGGGGTCCAGGGAGGAGAAGACACTCGTGGCTCCAAAACTTGTGGCAATGGTTCGGATTGTCATCTGCTGAACTATTCAGATCTGCCGTAAACAAAGTCAGAATAGCCATGTTGATTGCCAACGTTCGGAACGGACAAGGCACATGAAGAAGAAGAAGACAGAGTTTGGCGTAATCAATTCTATTATTATTAGGAAAACAACCTACTTTAATTTTACTATCCTTAGAGTAAAATTTAGATTTTCAAAAATATTTTCCCAAAACTTGTAAATTTGATATTAATGTTGTTAATGAGACTCGTATTTAAATTTTATAATTTAAATGCATTTAACTTTACACAACGAATTTGTAAATATGCTATTTTTTAGCTACATCTTCATACGGATGCCGAATCTGCATTTAAATATATCCCTAGAGAAATGTTTCCTCGGGAGTATGGAGGATCTTGTGAGTCATCAGAAATATTACAAGGTGAATTTTTAGCATACAGTATGATTGCCCTTTCTAGAGATAAAAATAATGAACTAATATACAGTGAATGGCTAAATTACTGAATATTATCATTATTTCGAGAACCGTCGAGTTTTGAGGGAAATCCCGAAATAGGTCGATTCTTGTTATAAAATACACATCATATAGCGTACATGGAGTAGGGATAACTTCACCGGTCTAGGTGTAGTGGCGTAATCGTTAATTTTTTTTAAATAGAAATCGATATAATTCGACACCTTATTTAAACGAGAATTTAGTTCTCTATTTAACTACATTACATTTTAACTTAAATTTTTTTAAAGGTACAAAAATATTTGTTTTGAATTTAAATTTAACCAAATTACAACGAACGATTTAATTCATATTGTACTTTAAAGTAACCAAATTATGCATAATAATTATTTTAAATTAAATGTTCGAAATGCCATCATCGGTTTATTGACAATATGCGAATCTACGGACACATTCATCAAGTACATTGCGGATGACTTCTGGAGTAATTAGAGTCATTGCCACCTAATTCTATCTTTCAAGTCCTGTACGTTTTGGGTCTATTGACATGATATAAGGAAACAAGGTATGCTTACTATATTTTTCACCTAAGAAGACCGCTTTGCAATTAAATGCTGGTAACTTTATTACTAGCGGACCAGATAAGCGGCGATATATTTTACACTACCTTTATGAATAACATTTTACTGCTCTGTTGTTTCGATCAGCACTGCTCAACAAGTTATCGTTTCTTGGTTTATAATTTTATTGCAATGTTAATTTTTTGAATTTCTTCTGACGTATCGTATAATGTAGATTTACAAAAAAGTTATGCATTTACAAGAACATATTATTTGAAAAATAAGGAGTAAATACCATGTGTCATAATAATTGTAATCTCAGGAAAAAAGACAGTTAAGATTTTATACTCACTTAAAAAATTTGTTTAGTAATGTATTTCTTAAATCGACACAATCGTTGAAAAATGATTCATGCTGTTTAAAATATCTTTCTGTTAACGACCACTGTCATCGACTAAATAGATCAAAGTCAAACGTCATCATATTTCTCTTCTGTTTATCGTTAAAAATTAATCGATGGTCGTGGGTTGTATTTTTGTGTTTTAATAATTTAACAAAATACATAATCAGCAAAATCCTTATTTAAAACATGCGAACGGTTTTTGCAATCCTGCTAGTGAAATATCAGACAGTGAATAGGAAAAATCGTTTGCTAAAAAGAAGAAACAAAAAAGTGTTTCTGGAATTCAATTCAAACTTTGTGGTGTGTTTTAGTTACAGTCTAATTACTGGACTGCGTACTCTCAATAGCTTGGGTATTAATTACTGGACTACACGTGTTTAAACTTGTTAATTTTGTTTTGCTAAAAACTCAGAAGTGATTTAGTGCCAATTTGTTTCAAGGTTATATTTAATACAGTGTCTGCAGAAAGTAAAATCTTTGATGTATTTTATTCAAATTTGGTCATACCAGCAACTTGGCAAGTATTTTCTATTTAACTGCATGCAAAACTATTCGTATAATTTTTATTACTCTACGCAAAATAGAGACTTAAAGAGACCTTGATGAACATTTGATGTCGACAAATAATTTCGATTATTCGAAATATTCCGTCCCACTTCTTTTAACCGCCCTGTATATACATATTATATTCATTTTATTTGATTATATTATTACTGAACATAAAATACAGGAAATTAAATATTTTTACTTTTCAAGCCATCGAAATTAAATATTAACGCCCCACTGTTTGAGGCCCACTGATCATATCTTAATTACATATCGGCGTTCATAAAGTAAAAGGAGTATAGGTGAACTCGTTTTGGCACATCGCTGCGCCGACTAAAATCCACCATTTTTTCAATACGTCACATGCGTGACGTCTGCTTTGTTTACGTCCAGCTAAGTGTTTTGCATTTTAGAGTAAAGTTAGTTTTTCGATAAAAATGCAATATGTCAATGATAATTATGTCAATAAATATTACAGTAACGATGTCACTATCACTTGCTTGAATTAACATTTGACAAAAAGTTTCAGTGTTTATGAAATAACTTTTTGTGTCCTTTATTATTTTTACTTATTTTTGCTTTTTAAGTATATACTTTAGAAAGTCATGACAGGAACCGATGGATAGTATTTCGAACATTTAATTTACAATGTTATGCATAATTTGGTGACTTTAAAGTACATTATGAATTAAATCATTAGTTGTAATGTAGTTGAATTTAAATTAAAAACAATTGTTTTTATACCCTTAAAAAAATATTAAAGTTAAAAATGTAATGTTAAATAGAGAATTAAATTCTCGTTTAAATAAGGTGTCGCATTATGCCGATTTGCATTTAAAAACAAATTAACGATTACGTCACGACACCCACACCGGTGACATCATCGCTACTCCATGTACGTTATAAGATGGGTATTTTATAACAAAAATTGACCTGTTTCGGGATTTCTCTCAAAACTCGACGGTTCTCGAAATAATGATAATATTCCATAATTTAGCCGTTCACTGTATCATCACTTGACTTACTTAAAAATTCTTACCGAAAATCTCCCTCTAAAATCATAATTGTGAACTTCTCATTTTACATCCTTTATGTAGGTATTTAATATTTATTATTTGTGATTTCTGATAAAGATAATTTACTATTTTATAGAGAAATACAGGTGTAAAATTATGGACAATCCAGATTTTATTGCCCATCTGACTAATCAAATTGTTGATGAATCCAAAAGACAAGGAAAGCCAAAGAACGCTGGAGATATATTCGGTGTAGAAGGAAGCTTCAAAAAACTAGAAGTCGACTAAGTTATTTTATTTATTTTCGTTTTTGATATCTGGTTTTTGTGTTTATTTAAAATTAGTAATATACGTTTATTTTTAAATTAAATATTTGTTTTGAAACTTATTTTTTTATGTTTGCCTTTGAAGATGGTCTGACACAAGTTCATTAACACAACTCACAGAATCCACGGAGAGTCCACGGTGAGCTTTAGTAGGCTGACTTGGATAGAAGCTTCGGCTTTTTAGTCTTAACTGAAGAGACAAAATGAATGATTTTGAGTATTAATTGGTGAATTTTTGAAACCAGCACAGCGTAATGACGGGCAATGTTTAGAGTAACCTCCTAGTGTTTGAAACTCCAAAACTGTTGGTTATAATTTTTTGTAGCACTTTTAAGGTGGAAAAAGCAGTGTTTTTTTTTTATTATTTTTATTGTATTAAATCAATATCTTACGGTAGGAACACGTAGAACGCGTGTTGCCGGCGCTGGCGAGCAAGCGCTGACAAGCCCCAAGAAGCGCATGTGTATATTAGCATACTTTGATATGGAACGGTACGCAAAGAACACTTGTCTGAACTTGTCGGCGTTTCCAATAGGCGCAGACCAGCAAAAAAGAATGTTCAATAGATTATTTTCCAGCTTCTAGGACGCTGGTAGTCGTATTTGGGAGTGTTTGTTTTTGTGCGTGTTCACAATATTTGAGGCTATAAAAGCATTTATCAACATGATTGACAACGATCAATTGATCAGTCTGGTATACGAAAGTTGGGCTATATGGAATAAACGAGCCAAACAACATTCCAACAGGAATTATATAGAAAAGTGCTGGAAGGACGTGAGTGTTTAAATGAAAATTGAAGGTAAACATATGATTTAATTATTTTATTATATTATAGTATCTATTTAATTTTTATTGTTACATACGTAAGCAAAAATAAATAAGTCAAATAGATTTTGCAGTATTACAAAAATATGTTTACACATAATAAACTAAAGGATTATTGGCAAAGTACGTGGTGAATAAATCCCTAAAACTCTTTGCCTCATTTGTCGGTCTTCCGAGAGGTTTTTTTATTGTTTCACATATAAATTACTGCTGCATCAGCTAAATGATGTGTTATGTCTTCCATATCAATAACGGTATTATGCAAAATACATATATTATATACTTATGTATCTTATATATCCGTTTCAATGCTCTTCGAAAGCAAACGCCATTTTGCATATAAAATTCCAAATGCGCATTTAATTGACTTTCTCATTCGAGAAAACTGTTTATTATAATTTTCCTCATCAATACCCAAAGCACCTCTTGCATATGGTTTAAGGATGTAAGGGAGCAGTGGATATGCCTCGTTTCCAACAAACACATATGGAGCTTTCACATTCGTTCCAGGTAAGAATTAGGGTTCCGGAATGTCAACTTCCTGCTTGTTTAATAATAGGTCAGAAGCTTGGAAGGTCTCACCATCACTTTGTTTGCCATATCCGCCAACGTCGACTGTTATAAACCGATAGTTCGCATCAACAACGCCTTGTAAGACGACAGAGAAGAAATGTTTGTAATTAAAAAACATGTATACTGAATTACTTGCGCACTTAACTCGGACATGCTTTCCGTCAATTGCCCCAAGCCTGTTTGGAAAATTCCAAAGACCAAAGAAATCCTTAGCAGTTTCTAGAAAAAGTTGTTTAGTTGGTACTGGCATATGCAAAGGCTGAAATTTATCCCATACAACTGTAACCACCTCTCTAACAATGTTCCCTACAGTTGAAGAACCTGAAACCAAATAATATGTACCTGTAATACTAACATAATATAAATTCGTATAATTTAAATTAAGCTTCAGTAGTTATAAATGTAGCTATAAACAGACAGGAATTCGACTAACCATAATGTAGTTAGTTTTGTAACACTGAACCTTCTTGTATGTACATATTTTACCCATTTTTTCTTTTATTACAAAAGACAAACGGCACAAAAAGTGGAAGTATTTGCTTAATCAGTTTAGTAGAGTTGTCGAAAATTAAACGCCCCAAATATGAAGATGAAGGTGGGGAAAAGCACACCAGTAAGTGGCACTACTTTAAATCGTTGTATTTTCTGAAAGTCATCATTAAATCACGACCTATGTTGACCTAATGGTGTTAAAGCAGTCCCATGCTTCAACACCATTAACAACTCACAGTGTTCCATCGGAACAAGACTCACAGTTTTATATTAGTAGATCGTAATCAATCCGTTATTATATATTATATATATATATATATATATATATATATATATATATATATATATATCATTGCTTCAATGTTTTAAAGTGTCAAAATTCGTATTAAACCGTCCACCTAAAATACATAAAAAATCGTTAGATCTTATGCAAAAGATGAACTGAGTAGCTCAAAACAAATAATTGGATCTATGTTATAATTTTTGTTACTAATACAAAAACTAGACACTGTAAGGATATACAAAAAGATAAACAAATTCTTTAAAATTCTTAATCCAAACTGACAGGAAGATTATCTAATACTATTTAATTTTTTAAAGTGGGAAATAGAAAGACGACTTTAATTTTTGTGAAAATGTCCTAGTGTTTGTGTAACGTTCATTTAGCGTAAGCAACAATGTTGGTCAATCAAAATTAGATTCAAGAACCTAGTAGACTATTACATTTTGAGGTTAACGTAGGTACAACTTTAATGATAACTGAATATCTTTAAATACATAATATGAATGAACTTACCTGATTAAATGATGTGGAAAATAAAACGAATATTATATCTTCTTGGGAAAACGGGATCTTAAAATTACAACTAAACAAAATTAAATCCACAAACGAAAGAAGTAGTACTCGTAAGCATCAAATAATTAATGACAATGAAACTGGCCAAAGTCACGTCAAAACAGCCAGTCACACCATAACATTTGAAGAAAGAATACCCTAACTCCAAAAACTATTGTGCGGTATTTCACAGAAGACGGTCTTAATTTCGTATTCATAGGCGTAATTTGAAGAAAAAAGACCCTAAATACAAAGGTTAGTGGATTTGGGGTACTTTTAGTTCTTGTTCGCTACATAGGGCTTTCTTTTAACAAAAATGACACCAAACTGGAGTTAGGGCCAATATATATTTCACAATAACCCATTTTAAGGGTTAATCCATTGGGTTAAAAATTTAACCCAATGGATTTAAGGCTTTCTAACGACATTTATAGGTGTATTTTTATACGCTGATTCATAAATGCCCATAGAATACATTTAAAAAATGTTGGAGTTAGGGCCTTTTAGCTTATGAGGGCACTACAGCCATGTGAATGCCAATAACTGCAGGCAACGTGCCAATAACTAGTACTTTCTCTGTTTTTTGATTTAAATCAATTTCGTTTAAATATACTAACGTTATTATTAAAAACAGAAACACTAGACTAGAATAAAAGTTCCCGAAATTGTGATTCTTTTCTTGTGGAACTCAGAAATATTTTTCTCGGGACATTTCCTTCAGAGTGTTAATAACTGAGTGCATTACCGTATATAGAATTAGATCTCTATATCAAATTATGGAAGAAATTTTTATTAAACTTAAGTAATTTTTAACATATTTCAATTGATTCAATCCAAAAATGTTATTATACAAAATTATTGTGCATTCACTAATTTTTATCTTTTTTCTGAAATCCCTTTCTTAAATTTGTTAATATTTGGGTTATTCCTTGCACCTATAGAAACAATTATGACTTGTAGTCTCCCTGTGGCATAACGTTAAGTTTATAGTCCATATCATTCTAAATGCAAACATCCTTCATTTAGTAGACATTTATCTTTTGCCATTAATCAAAAGAAGATTGCAATAAAAAGGTAATTATGGAAATTTTTAAAAATAAAAGAATATTAGTGTAATATTCTAAACCAGGTAGACCTTGATATTATCACTATACATTATTTTGCAGTAATAAGAATGTTTATTTGTTTTAAGCTTGATGATATTATAATTAGGTTTTTAAACAATTCAAGTTTTTTCAATATCAATGTTCTTTTGTATACAAATTTAATGGTTATTTTACAAATTAATAAACGCTTGTTTTCGTGTTGTGTAATTAGTCAGTTTGATACCTATAGTGAGCCACTATGCAGTTTAATGAGATATCTGTAGAGGAAGTTTACCGAAAAGACGAAAAGTTAAAGAAAGAAGATGTTCAGGTTTTAATGGATTGGATGGGAAAACAACCTCATTTGCCGAAAGCTACAGGTACTTTGAAAAAAATTGTACTTTATACTTATCAAATAAAATTTTGCTTTTGTTTAAACTTCTTTTGCAAGATATCGTCATTCACGTTTGTGTATGTATGGACTAACCCTAAGATTTAAAAAAATTGCGGATTTTATGGAAAACTATCGAATAAGTCAACAACTTATTTTTTCCCTCTTACAATTTTTGCATATTTCATCTATTTTTTTATCGAGCATCATTCTCTTTGCCTATACCTATCCATGTGCGAGGTCATCTTGTTTAATTATCATCTCCATAAGTTTCTATCTTGGTCATAAGGTAAGGACGCCAATTAAAGCCACGTTAAGGTTTAAATGTCTGTAATATTTTATTCAGCAAAAATATGAAAGGAAAAGTGTTTTATACGTATTGCCTAACATTTTAGCTATCTAATTTCACGATAAAATACTTAATAGATAAATTAAGAAATATCAAATTTTAACATTGGATAAATCTTGAATATTTGTCCTTATTTGGAACTGGTAACTTAATAAAGCCAGTTTCAGTTTTTAATGAAATTTACATGGATAACAAATTTTAAACCTAAGAATTAAAGAATAGAAACAAAGTATAGTGAAAGAAACTTTTATTGATATTAAAAACAAAAAATTGTCAATAGATTAAGTACATATATCGCACATTTACACACATCGAGGACATTCATATATATCCTTGTCGTCTTTTATTAATCATATGCATTCTTCGTGGATATACTTATTACACAAACACATTTGCACATATCAACCACTCTATCCTCATCACACAAGAAACAGTACCATGAATCTTTTTTTTAAATTTGGTTTTGGTTTTTCTAAGCTCTGAGATTGTGCACTAAATAAATATCTGGTAACTTCTTGTGCTTTCGCATTAATGGCCTGTCGACGTTTTTTTTTTTTTTTTTTTGTTGATACTTTTCACTCCGGTGTAATCAGCAAACCACTGGAATTAAAACATATTTAACGCTTCCCATGGCCCTGTCTCACTTATTTTTGCAACCTTACTTATATCATATTTATTTGGCGTAAAAACTGCATCACTATAATCCTCGCTAAAAGCTGTACAAATTGTGTAAGATCCAGAAGAGTCACTGTCTTCATCTGAGATATAAGTTTGGAAAACTTTGGTCAGTCCTTTTTTTTTGTTAATTTTCTTTTTCTTACTATTCGAAAATGCTTTGCTTTTATTATTTTTGTTTTCACCGCAGCAGGATAGCTGTTCTTCGAAATTTGTATTATTTTTGCCAGTTGTTTCAATTTCTGGTTCGGTTGTAGAATATTCTTGTAAATCTTCGGCGACTGTTTCAATCTCTAGTTGTGTCAGACAACTGGAGCAAAGGCAGCAAGAATAGCATTGGATTAAATGGCCATATTTCAGTTGCTTTTAACTCAAAACAAATATTTTTTGCGTCATTGCTTTTTTTCAAGGCGGCATAAATATTTACCCAAATCTTGTTCGGTTGATGATACGTTTGTTATTATGGTTCACCCAAAAATTTAACACCTGTAAGTGACTGTAAAGACTGCTTTATTGAGTGGTTGAAGATTATGGGGTGATGTTGGACGGTAAACAAAACAGAGTTACATCTTTTTTATTGCAGCTTCTACAATTCTAATGTCTAAATGAGATGAAGCTCCATGAAAAATTAAAAGGGCTGGTCCAGGATTTCTGAATCGGCAAAAATTATCTAACCGCTCTATAAATACATCTGCTATAATGCTTCCTTTCTTGGTCATTATAATTTTTGTTTCTGTTCAAAGATTAAAATGCCATTCTGGTTTAACTCGTTGCTCTTTGATAATGATTAGTGGCGGAATTATGTTGCCTATGTCGTTGTTACATGCCACGATTGTTATCGTGGCATGTAACATTATTGCACCAGATCATGACGAAATTATAAAATTTCGTCGTGATCTGGTTCAATGATATGCACCCTTTTAGCACCTTTACTAGCCAATACAGTTTGTTGGTGACGTAGTGTAAGGTGGCATCCTTTTTCGTCCATTTTGTAAATTTGAGAAAGTTTCCATGCGTAGCTTTTCTCAGATAAAATCTGTCAAAGTTTCTCGAAATAATCACTAATACCTGTACGATTCAATTTTTGGGCTCTGGCCAAATTGAGTGTCTGAAAGTGTCTTTGTTATTGGCTTACTGGTCTACGCTGTTCCATCATATTGAATATCTCATATATTATGTCATTAAATGTAACACGGTTTAAAATTTTAGCGATCAAAATAAACGGCATCAGCCGTGCTAGGTAGTTAAATAAGACCACCATACTCCTGTTATAGTTAAAATCTGTGTCATTTTAGAACTGCAGGTAGCATGCTTCCTCCATAGTTGCTACTATAGCAATGAAGCTGCGAAAAATTCAATAGACGCATATTTTACGGTAAAAACTTTATGTCCCGATATTTTTAGTTCAAGGACTATAAATGACGATATATTACGAGCTACTATAGACACTCAGTAAGTATATCCTTTATTATTTAATTATATTTTAAGAAAAGACTAATTAAGGACTTTTTAGCCATTACTTTATATACTCACAATTAGCCATATTTTAGTATTACACCCTGTAGAAGATTGACTTTCTAAACAACGAATTTATTAAATTTAGAAGACCAAGTCTTTTGCATTTAATTAATTCTTCTGTATCTATGTGTTACTCAAAAATACTGTTTCTATAATCATCCGTCTCATTTAATTAGATTACATGGTGTGAATTTTACAAGTTTGACCAATTATTATTTGTAACATTGGTAGCTGTGATTACCATCGATATTGTATTACTGTTCATATAAGTGACATTTTCATTATTATTCTCTTTTCTATCAACATAAAAGGTCACTTCTGAGGATTCCTTCAATAGATTCATCTTTAGAACCAGATGCCGATGGTTCTTGGACATCATGATGATCGTAAGTTGCAGCGTGAGGAACATTAACATCAGCAGGTAAAGATGTAGAAACAATGTCAGGTTTATTAGTAGAACCAGGCACATCCTCAGGCACATCTGTAGGTGCACTAGGCAAAAATGCATGCTCCGGAAAAATGTCACGATTTATAGGTGATATTCCTGTGGCCCGAAAACCATTTATTGCGATTTCAATATTTGCTGTTTTCTCATATGCTTTCTGGACGAGACGGACACTTGATATATGGTTATTGCACGACCAGGATTTTATCTGAGCCAATGAGTAACAGCTTGATTATAATATTTATGGAGTGGTCCGAAAAAGGCAACATCCAATGGCTGAAGGCGGTTCGTGCAGTGTGCCGGTAGGCAAAGGAATACCACTGACTTCTGTTTAGCTAATTCTAAAGCTTCGTAGCTTTTATGAGTGGAGTGTCCGTCTAAAATTAATAATGCTTTCTGCGCAGGATTCGGCCTGACATGGTCAATGAAATGTTGCATCCACCTTATGAGCAAATCTCCGGTCATGTATCCTGATTCATTATGCAATTTTAATATTCCTACAGGTGCGCCGTCATATAAAAGTGGATTAAATCTTTTTTGGGGGAAAATTATTGATGGTGGTACGTAAGTTCCTCCAGAGCTCACTTGTTTTTTTCCTTCCTGAGCAAAGACTTTTGGCGGAACTTGGACGGTGGTCAAGGCTGATTCGTCCATGTTGAATATCATGGTATTTTGAATTTTTTGTTCTTGAACAACTTCTTCTAACTTATCAAAAAATTTATTTACCTGAGGCTTATTGAATGCCTCGGCCCGTGCAAGAGACGTAGCTTCTGGAAGACGTAATATTAATTGCGGATTTCGTTGGCGAAAACCATGCAAACATCCTTTGCCAGCCATCTTGGTCACTTTATTGAACGGATGATTAATCTTCATTTTCTCTGCAATGCTATAGGCTAGCTTGCATAAGTCTGCTCTTGTCACGCCAAAAAACCGGGATTTCACGATACAGTATGTGGGCAACTATTGCAGTCTCCATATCTTCGTTTAAAACTGTTGCCAGGGAGCCCAAATGTTTTTTGGCAATGGCTTCAATGGCAATTTTATTTTTATTACCTGCTTGACGTCGTAGTGTTGAGAACAGTACATGAAATGTATTGCTTGCTTTAAGCCAACTCATTTCGGAATTTCGGACTGCCTTCAAAGCTCTTTGCATGTCTTCCTCACTCCAACTATTTCTGTTAGACTTCGTTTTATATGAATAAACCATCTGCAAAAAAAAACTGAATATGTACCTTAACCTGAAAAACAGACGGGCAAAATGGCATAGTATGTTATTTTGCCCGCCATATTGCTGTGCCATTTTGCCCGTTTTGTATTTGACGACTACTGATAGTTGAAAAAAAATTAATAATGGAAATAAACACAATTTTTATTTGAGGTCACATTCAGCGTATAAAACATAATTACCAAAAAGTGAATTCAAAAAGCTCTATAACCTTAATATAAATTATTGAATAAAACTTACATTGAAGCATCGAACTCGATCAGCACTTATTCACATCACAAATACACCAATCTCGTGGCCGGCTGTTGTTAAATTAGGTGCACGAGACTTAATGTGGACAGTGTTGCCACTGTTTATAATAAGTATCCAGAACTGCGGTGACGTAGAACCGTTAGCTTGACTACGAGAACAAAAAACCATTTTGCCCGCCTATGCCATTTTACCCGCCCTTCCCCTACAAATATTTGTCCTTCTAAGATTACTATGACTGATATTGTTAATGGCATAAATGAGCTACCCAATAAGCTTGTTGCTGGTCCAGATGATGTGCCTAATTGTTTAATTAAAAAAGTATGTCTGTACTCGTGTAATGCCATCTTTATATTGTTAAATAGATCTCTGGAAACCTCTATTTGTCCTTCCTTATGGAAAGAAAGTTATGTTGTTTCTATATTTAAAAATGGTCAGAAAGACAATATTGAAAATTATCATACCATTTGTATACAATCTGCAATCCCTAAGCTCTTCGACTGTCTTATGGCAAAGCAACTTTCTTGGTTACATAAAGGCTTAATATCTCAATCACAACATGGTTTTTATAGTAAAAAATCCACTGTAATAAACTTAGTTTTCTACCAATCTGATATGTTATCTTATGTAAAAGACTGTAAACAGGTATACGCAATATACACAGATTTTTCCAAAGCATTTGATCGTGTAGATCACCAAATATTTTTGGGTAAATTAATTAATGTAGTCTTTCATGTCAGGTTTGTTGAATAAATTAAAAAACTCTAAATCTTCGAGAAGTCAAAGAGTCAAGATAGGTTGTCATCTGTCTGACAGTATCTCAGTAACATCTAGAGTTCCTCAAGGAGGCCACACTTCTCCACTTTTTTTTAATATCTTCGTTAACGACATTACTTTCTGTTTCCTAAGTGGCAAATGGCTAATGTTGGCAGATGACTTAAAATTTTGGAAAGTTTTAGATAGCTTGAATGATCAAGCTTTGCTACACGATGACTTAGACTGACTACAAAATTGGTGCAATCAAAACAATCTCCACTTAAATGTAAAAAAAAAATTTGTTTTATAAGTTTTTTCCGTAAATCTAATAGAATTGGAACAAGCTATACTATTACTAACCAGCCACTAAATTATGTTTCTTCTATTCGGAATTTGAGTGTCATTTTCGATGAGAAGCTTACTTTCTGTGACCATATAAACTCTATTTAAATAAAGGCATTTAAACTTTTTTGTTTCGTTACTAGGAGTTGCAAGTATTTCTCCATTGATTCAACAAAATTAGTATATTGTTGCTTAGTTAGAACTATTTTCGATGACTGTTCATTTATTTGGTCACCCTATTTTCAGAACAATATTGATACCATAGAAAGAGCCCAGCATAAATTTTTGAGATATTGTGCTTACTGTGTCCACACTACTATTGAACATCATGATTATTCCTGCATCGAACAACAATTATATTTCCCCTTGCTCAAGAACCGTCGTGATATGTCAGGAACTATATTTATACATACGATTATACATGGATTTATTGATTGTCCAAACCTGTTAAGCCAGATTAACTTTAATGTTCCCCATCAAGCTCTACGTTGCCACAATATTTTGAATATTTCTTTCCACAGAACAACCTATGGTAAGTTCATTGTACCGTGGGTTCTAATAAAACAAATGGCGCTAACTTCACCTACATCTAAAGATGTCCATCCCAAAGGTGTTATGCTTCTTGAATCGGTGATTTTGGTAACGGTTGAATCTGCTGTAAGTCGAAGCACATATTGAGTGAACCAGACTCTTCTTTTTTCATAGCCTTATAAAATGCTGCTGCACGAATCGCGTGAACTCGCTTGTTGGTCATGTACTCAATTTTCTTAGATAGATCCTTTGTGGTTTTGATGGATGATATGTTTCATTTTGTAGCAGTAACTACACACATCAGACGCTGGGGAGCGAAATCCAATATTAAAGGTTTGAAAAATTATTCGAAACATCGTTTTTGATACTTTGTTTGAGATTTCATATTGTAAATTATTATACATTTTTCATACTTTTGTGATGTTCATGTCCTGATAGAATAGATGCGCTTTAATTTATTTCTAGAATAATGTGTTTCTTTACCTCTTACCTTTTTTATGAAATCTCTTACATGCGCCTTTTTGCCAGCTGTCTTCGCTGATTTGACCCCCTTTATTCCCTCCTATTCTCATTTAGATGTTTCTCCTTACGAATACATTTTATAATGTTGCTTAATCTGATAGGTTTGACTATCATCACTGACAGAAAAAACTTCTTACATACCATGATAATTTTTGTGTTCTGCTTAATCAAAGTGTACTCAACAGAACAAGAGTTAGGCCGTGCTTCGTTGCTTGTATTTCGTGGCCTTCTTCTTTTAATGTTATGAAGGGACACATGACTTGAAATGAAGTTGTCCTGAGCAGTTTTATTGTACACGGATAGCAAGTATTTTTTTTTTCACATGAGAACATCACTGGGAGTAAATCTTTTACACGAAAAGTTCTTAGAGGAATGTAAGCACGGGTTGAAGATATTATAACCTTTAGATTGGGTAAGTCTTTTCTTTTTGTCAATTCTCTCTTTCGTGGATTTATAGTCCTCTTCATAGAGCCATCTTCCACACTTCCACATAAAAGAGTCATTAATAACTTCACTCATCCTATTAATATTAAATTAAACACTACTAGCTCTGCGACACGGTAGCAATGAAGCTGAACAAAACAGTGTGAAAACTCCTAACCTCAAACAATAGAGCATCATGGGTAGGGCGAATGCTGTCCTGACCTTAACCTTTTTTGATTAAATACTTATGGTGGACATAACTTGTTTTGTTCCGCTACCTATATACAAAATTCGTTTTGATCAAACTTTTATTTACTAACATGTGGGATTCAATATATATATATATATATATATATATATATATATATATATATATATATATATATATTATAATTAATATTTTTAGATTATTCGTTGTTCTTCCCGAATTAACACCAGCAGGCGACACAGTGATACTATCGAGAAAAATCGATCCCGATCCAAGAAATTTTCACCTCATTGGTCAGTTGAAGCTTATGGATATAGTACCACTACTTCATTCACACCAATATGGCCCCCCAAGAGGCTTTCAACTCATAATAGACATGGAGCTAACCAGCCTCGGGCATCTATTGAGAATAAACCCTTCTTATGTTAAAAAATTTGCCTACTATCTGCAGGTATGGTAATGATTTATTGATTTAAAACCAAGTTTTAGTAATTTTTATTTCTTGCGTAGACGTATTTTCTTGCTTTTCATTGTGCTTAACTATTATTATAATTTCATTAATGGCTTTGTTCGTTGTATAAAAAAGCAATAAACAAGTTTTAAAAAGAATCCGATATCCAAATCAAAACTTCAATAAAGTATTTTAAATCTTGCGACAATAATCAATTTCCGTTTCATATGGTTCTGAATTTTTTATGTAATTTCTATGTTGTTAATTATCATCATCATCATTGGTGCTACAGCCCTATAAAAGAGCCTCCACCTTCATCTACACCATCCCTCCATCTGAGTTTTGGCCTACCCCTACTTTTACTTTCCACAGGTTGTGACATAAGGATTCTTCTAAAGTTGTTCTGCTGTGATCTTGCCAGATGTCCTGCCCATCTTAGTCTTCCTATTTTTATAAGAGATACTACTTCTTTACCAACAAATATATGTTTATATCTGTGATATATCTCGTAGTTGTACCTCCTTCTCCAAACACCATTTTCACAGATGACACCGAATATTCTTCTCACGATTCCTCGTTTAAATATAAGCAGGAGGTTTTCATCTGTCTTGGAAATGGTCCATGTCTCCAATCCATATGTCAACACTGGTTGTATAACGATTTTGTATATGGTTATTTTTGTTTTTTTGGCTTAAGATTCTGCTTCTCATATGTCTACTTAATCCGAAATAGCATTTGTTTGCTAGCATTATTCTTCGCTTGATTTTTTCCGTCATGACGTTCTCATTGGTGATCATAGAGCCTCAGTATGTGAATTTGTCCACCACTTCAAAGGTGGAGTCACAGAATAATAAACAATCAGAATGCCCACTCTCAGATGCCGCCTTTGAAGTTTTTCAGCACGCACGCCATATTTTAGAAGGAAACACAGAACACAGACTCGGATTGAGAATTACATTTGGTGTAATGGGTCTTTATCGACATATGATTTGTGAGGTTATGTAATTGTTTATATTTATGTTTTAATGTTATATTATATTTATGTTATTATATTTACCAATGTTAAAATAATTGTATAGTATGTCTATGAATGCCGTAAGTCAATTAAACCGGGTTAATTTTTCTATGCACACCACATAAATTTTCATTAATCAACAATGGTTCCCTTTAAAACATGGCGGAACGTCTGCGCCAGCGAGATGCGCATACTTAATTTTCCATAGAGAGTGGGCATTCTGATTGTTTATTATTCTGTGGTAGAGTCATGTTATCAACCGTGAATTGGTGGCCGATATTTCTGGCTCTACTGTTGGGTGTTGATGCCATTATCTTAGTTTTCTCCTCATTTACTTACAGGCCCATATTTTTTGAGGCATTTGACAAGGTGGTATACATTTCTTCCAATTTGCGTGTTGTGCGGGCAACTAGGTCAACATCATCTGCATATGCCAAATTTTGGGATGATTTATTAAAAATGTTTCCTCTGTTTTCTATTTGGGCATGAATGGCCGCTTTTTCCAGAGCTATATTGAAAAGGAGACACACCAGCGCATCTCACAAATTCATTGGTTTTTCCAGTATTTGCCTTAGCACAAAGATCTAGTCTGTTGTTGATCGACCATTCCTAAAACCACTTTGATATTCGCCAAGAAGCTCCTCTGAATATGCACTCAGGCGACCATATAGAATACTCGAAAATATTTTGTATGCTGTATTAAGGAGAGTTATTCCAATATAGTTTCTACATTCAAATTGATCACGCTTTTTGTGAAGCGGGTAAACGATCCCAATACACCACTCTTCCGTAATTTGTTCCTCATTCTAGGCTCTCGGTCTGATTATATATATATATATTATATATATATATATATATATATTATATATATATATATATTATATATATATATATATATATATTATATGATTAGTCAGAGTAGCACCTCCACATTTAATAAATTCCGCGGGTTATACCATCACTCCAGTGATGGTATACCAGTTAAAACGGACTTTGAACTAAAATTAAGTTAATTCCCATTAAAGGTAATAGATATTATAATAAGGGACCGAGACATACTCAATAACAAAAACAAGTTTAGTAATTCTTCGTCAGCTTCTATCATTATATTTCTGCTCACTTCCCATTTATGTTTTTTATGTGTTCATGTTTTTGTTGTTTTCTAGTTTGATGTTTATATTTTGCTTATATTCTCTATTTTTGTTCGTTACTTTAGTCTTTCTACATTATATCGTTCATCTTAAAAACCTATTTCCTTTTTTATGTTTAAGATTCTGGCCCTTATCCTAATTTTGGTCCGGTAGTGATTAGAATCCATATTTGCTCCATTCCTTAGGCTAACATACACTTGAGTTTTTACCTTGATTAGGCCCGAGCCTCTTCAAGTAATGGGGTTTTTTTTTGTCGGAGTAATGGGATGTGGTAAACGTCAATTATTGGAATTTCTGAGTTGGTAAGAAGTAGTGGACTATTAAGAAGCAGGGGGAAGCAGAAGGTGGAGTGTGTGTATGGACTACATAGAAGCGCACAAGAAGAAGTGGGGAGATTTACCTAGCATGTCAGATCAGGTACTTCAGGGGTCACCAGCCATACAGCAGGAACGGCTCTTTATCAGCGTTTTTGGCGCACAGTTTTTAACTGCGATATTTGATTGGAGTAAATAGAAGAAAGATATCAAAATACTCATCAGGTAGTTCATGTCCAGTGTTGTGAAGAAGTTTTGCTGGAGGAAACGGACCTTTTCTTGTGGGAAGCCTGGTGAGTATTTGCCCTTGGTGAATCCATGAAGTCTTCAATATTCGTTTGGCTCTGTTGTTCGAGCCAACTATGATTCTTAGGACATACTTTCTGCTGAGGGATAGGATTCTGTCCTTGATTGGTGTGATGTTAGCCAGTATGTATATGTGAGCTGATGGATACGACCAGTCCTTTCTCATGCAGTATCTGAGAATTCTTCGTTCGGTTGCCATTATGGCATCAAGTTGGTGGGTCTTCGGAGAGACATGGACGCATGCTTGTATTCGACGATCGGTCTAAAAATGTTTTGTGTGCAAAATAAGGTTTTAGAAGATGTCCCTCCCATTTTACCGCATAGCACTTCTAGGAGGTTAAACCTCTTTCTCATCATATCTAAGATATCTTGAACGTCGGTTTTCCAGTTGAGAGTCCTTGTAAATCGAACTCCCAAGTAGAAAACCGAGTTTCTGAAAATAAGGTCTTCTCCTAAAAGTGTTATCCGGCCCTGGGCATCGCGACAAATTGAAGATTCAAAAAGAATAGCTTGTGTTTTGGAGGGATTTATAGTCACTCTTCATTTATTGTACCACCTAATAACTCTGTTGAGGTAATTTTGTGATAGCTCGAATACAGACCGTTGTTGCCCACGCTCTCTGTGAGACACTGACGTGAGGAGAGCCGTATTATCAGCGAAGAGTAACAGGGACTCCGAACCTTGAGTGAATAGTCCGAAGTGACTTTATGTATATCTAAGTTCAAATAAATTAATAAATAAATATTAAAATTACAAAATAGCTGCTTCGCCTTTTGCTTTAGTTACTTTGCAATTTGCAATAGATGGCGCGCACGCTAGCCTGATTTGAAGCAATGTGGCTACAAACTTGAAACATCATCTTTAACTTGACAATATTGCAGTAATATTGCCGCAAACTTGCCTCGATATATTTGACGTAACAATTTAAAATCAAACCAAAGCCAAACTTGACGCAAGTGTACATGGTATCTGGGTATCTTAACTTCTTCATCTCGTAGGTGTATTTTGCCTTGGATATAGCAACGTATTTTTTTGTTTCTTTCAGTAGCTCTTCATAGCCTTGTTTTTGTTTTAACGGTATTTTTATTTTTCTTTGCATTCCATGCGCTTACTTAGGCCCCAGGTGTAAGTTTTTAAGAATATTTGCATATCTGTATAACAATGTATTATTATATCTTTTGTAGATTTTGATTTAGTTGGTGCTTCTAAAGATGTAATATATATGATAAAAAAAACTATAACGCGTTAACGCAAGAAGGAACTTTAATGGATGAACTTATTTACCATTAATGTTAGGATAAAAATGCTGAATTCATTAATTTTTAGGAGGGAATGCCAATAAGATTAAAACAGATACACTTTATCAATATTGTGCCATTTATGGACAAAGTATTTAGTTTCATTAAACCCGTTATGAAAAAAGAAGTCATCGACTTGGTAAGCATATTATAGGTGAATAAGTAGAAGCAGAAAATAATGTTTAATACAATTCTTAAAATATTTATGTGATTAGTAGTTTCATGTATACTCCGTTTGAAAATTATAGCACAGTTTTTATGGCACAGCTAATAATTCCCAAAGTACTGTCATAAACCAGTGAGGAAAAACTTCAAAACAATTTGAAATTTTCTTGTCTTAAATGTTGTAGTAATTTCAATAAACCAATAATGTTGGTATAGTCGCCTCGTATTTCGGTGAGATTGTGTAAAAATATATTTATCTGTAATAAAAGCAGGCAATAAAAATTAAACTAAAAGTACTCCACCAGGAATAGTTATTAACTGCAAAATTATCAATGACTAAGTTGTAGAATAATACAAAGTTTTAATAGTCTCATCGATATTTAGACTCCGCCTCCGGTAAGTGCTGGGTGGATTGAGTAGCTCAGTAAATGCCGGTGCCGGTCCCAAGCCCGGATAAAGGAGGAGGGTTGAGGCGATGGGATAGCAACTCATCCCTTGTCAAAACAAATAAATGCTAAAAATTTCGACCAAAAGCCTCGGAATACAAAGGATGGATAAAAACAAAGACGACTAATGCAACGGAAAAGGAAAATGATATTGGCTACATGGAATGTACAAGGACTTAGATCCAAACAAGCAGAAGTAATGAAAGAATTAGCATAAAGAAAAATAGAGATATATATATATATATATATATATATATATATATATTCTCACCGAGACCAATAAAAAGGGAAAAGGAAATAAAGAGATAGGAGAATATATACATATCTACAGTGGAGTGGGTAAAGAGAACAGAGCTAAGAGAGGAGTCTCTATTGCCATTCGAAAAAATCTTAAAAACAGTATTAATTCGTGGACTGAAGTAAATGAACAGCTGCTAATCCTGGAAATGAAAAAGAATGGGCACAACATCGTAATTGTCGGAGTGTATGCCCCAAATAAAGATGCAAATCCAGAAAGTAAAGACGATTTCTACAACAAGATGAATGAAATAATCTCTGAAATTAAAGAAAACTGTGAAATCTTTATACTAGGAGATTTAAACAGCAGAGTAGGAAGAGAAAAAAATAACAGAGTCGTAGGAAGATATGTGGAACAAATAACCACTGACAACGAAATGCGTCTTCGAGATTTTTGTGAAACAACGTCTCTCAAAATTATGAATGGATTTTTTCAACATAGAGACATCCACAAATTTACATGAATACAACCTACTAGGAATCTGCGCTCGATAATCGACTATGTAATCCAACATCAAACTTTCCAGCTTAAAACAACTAACGTAAGGGTATACCGTGGATCAGAATGTGGATCAGACCATCGTTTACTTATGGCCAACGTGATAGTTAACTATCTCAAAAACAATAACACTCAAGTACAGAATATAGAAAAGGGACAAGAAGTAACATCCCCTAAATATAACCTAGAAAGCTTAAAAGCCGATTATAGTCCGATTATAGCCGATTATTAACGGAAGCTTTGGGTTATAAAGACAAAAATTAAACAAAAAATCAAGAATGGCGGTCGGAGAATATGATCGGAGTATAAATTTCGTAACATAACTACCATACTTTCATTGAAATTAAATGGAGAAAATTGGTTGTTGTTTCAAAACGACCATTCTCCAAGGACTTCTAGGTCTCAAAACAACCAATATTCCTCTGCATCAACCAGAGTGCTAGATTGTATCACGTTGTCAATTATTTTTAAGATGGCGGGCATACTAGTGTCAAAGTTGAGAAAAGGAACATTATTCTCTAAAGTGTTTGCAATTTAGTAATAAATAGAGACAACAACAGAAGTATTAACGCCTACAAAGTGTAGAAAAAGACTCGCACAGCCAGAGAAATGGGCAAGAAATGTGAGAAACCGGCTGAGGTTAGTATATTTTTAGATCTATATTGAAGAAAAAAATGTCATTTGTCGTGAGTGCAACATGCTTGGCAGTTTTGTGAAAATGCAGGGAACATGTATAATTTTCATTGATTTTTTATATTCAAAAAATGATTTACATATAATTACTAGATATCTAAAATAGAATGTGAATTTCATTTATTTGTAGGTATGGGAGAGCCTACCAGTGCACAAAACTCAATATTGCGGATGTGATGGCATTTTATAAAGCTTTTTATAAAAATGAAGAGAAAGTTAAACAAGACCCCTTTATAATGCAATTCCTAGAGTTAAACCCTGTTCGCAGACGTCGCCCAAAAACGGGAGTCAATCGTAATTAGACGACTACATGCAAATGTTTCATAAAAGGTCCAGATGGCAAGGTTGCCAAAAGACTTCCACTAATGCCCCGAGGATCACAAGGGGCCGACTGCAAACTATAATTAACAATTTAAGAGGGGAAGTAATCTTTCATGTGAGAAAAGGGGACTGGACAAACGAACGTATTTATATAAAAAGAAACTGAGGAGCGTGGTCGAATTTATTAAAAGTATAAAATGCGTAGAGTCTCATTAGTGTAGGGGCCGAAGTAAGCGTAAGCATGCATCAGGTGATCTAAGTATTAATAAACTTTGGCAAATTTACAATGTTTAAGCCAAAACAGAGACACAGGTAAAAAAGGGATATTTTCGGATGGTTTTTAATAGAAAATTTAACATTTCATTTAAGACACCACAAACGGACATGTGTTCGACATGTCTTTCACTCACTGAAAAAATCTCAAAGGAAACGACACCATCGGTGAAGCAATCCCTCATAGCCGCTAAAAGAATTCACAAGCTTAGCTCGAAAGCCTTCTTTGCAATATTGAAGGAATCTAAGCCTGAATTATTGACTTTATCCGTCGACTTGCAAAAAAACCTTCCGCTGACTAAAGTCCCAGTTTAAGCAGCGTACTACAGTAGACAGCTATATGTACATAACTTGACAATTGTAGTGGGACATTCTAAAGTCCCATTAACGAAGGAAAATTTTTTAGCTATGTATGGCCAGAGGATGAGTATGACAGCGGCTCTAATCAAGTGCCTTAGGAATGTATCACAGGCTGTCGTAAAATATATCAATGTCGTAAGATTAATGGCAAGTCGCTGGCTGATACAAGCTCCAAAAAACATAAAATATATTGAAATAGTGTATTCTGTTCTATTCAATCGAGGGCATTCATTCTTGCCGTCGGACAGGGTGTTTGGGACAATCGAAAAAAAACTTTAAAAAATGCTGAGTGTGATTACGACGCCTGAGGACTATTTTAAAATAATACGTGAAAATACAACTTTTGCCCCCAATATGGATTTCAAATCGTACGATTGGAAAACCGAAGCATTGTCTACATTCAAAGCACTGCAGAGTTGGCACTTTCAGATATGGAAAATAAAAAGGATTTGTTTGGCAAGATCAAGAAAACAAAATATCGTCATATTGGTTAAAGGGGACGGAAGCTACTACTTAAGCATCGGTTTGTTTTAAAGTATTTTAAAAAACAGGAAGATCGACCATTAACATCAATCCAAATAAAATAGCAGTCGGGAACGTGGCCAACATTAGCAAAGAGAAATTGAAGGACGTAGGAAGCTAATGTAATGTCGCTACGGCGAAAAATGGCAAAATGATCCGAAACTGGCTTATTTCAAAAACGTCCTACATTACAAAAATTTTCCAAGCGTCCCCGAAGAAGACGACGTTTATTGCGAACCATTCGATAATGACAACGACGAAGAAGTCTTAAGAGTATAGAATTTTGGTATTAATAATTATTTTAATTTATTAAGTACTGTTATTAAAATTTGTGTTTTTACTATAAAATAACCAATCTCCTGGTCTGTTCATTTTAAAATAGCCAATATACACGTGTTAGTTGCAAAGTAGCCAATCTCCAAATATTTTTCTTTAATTATAAGAATATTTTAATAACAACCAAGAAACCAGCAATGAAAAACTAATTTTGGGAGAGCAAAGTTTATGGATAACCAATTTTGTGGCTCCAGATTTTACAAATATATTCACGGTAAAAAATTACGATTTACGGCAATTTTGCCAGGGTGGAGATTGGTTGTTTTGCAAATAGAGGTCTCAAATAATTATCTAAAATAATCTTTTTAGTTTGTGGTCCACACAGAAATAGAAAGCTTGTATGATCATATACCCCAAAAATTACTACCTGAGGAATATGGAGGAAACATTGATTCAATTTTGGTACTAAGAGGTAAGATCAAACCGTGATATATTTTATCCCATTAAGCAATTCGTTTTATTTTCTTTTTTCCTAATCTTAAGAAAAATGGAGACAAAGAGAGGAAGGGAAAGAAAAAAAGAGAGATAGAGGGAGAAGGGTTAAAACGCTTCCGATACCAATCGCTGCTTCTCTCGGTTCGTCCATAAGTCTTCTTCTGCATCTCTGCTTCTGGTTTCTTGATTTATACCTTATCCTCAACTATGACTTTGTCTTCTGTTTATTCAACCATGAAAAATTCACGTTAAAATTTATTTTTGGTATTCGTTCTTCAATCTCAAAGTGATAAAAGGACTACAGAACTATAATTTTAATGAAGTGTTCAAGGTATTTCTCTATATTATCTACGAAAGAATTTACAATATTTTAGAAACGACCTTTTTATTAAAGAGGCACATTATAGCATATAGGTACTAATTCAAAGAGTTAGGAATGTGATAGTAACATTTTTGGTTGCTTCTTGGAAGATATTTGACAGAGTAAACTATGAAAAAGTCATCGTCATTATCATAATTGACTTAAAATCCCTGTGCTGTACAATGCTATCATAAAGACACTGTTTTTTATTACTCGGGTAGCAGTACTGATGATCACAAAAATGGTGGGCTTGCCCTAATGGAGCGGGAATAAGATACTTACACACTTGACACCTACAAAATAGAACTACAAACAAATAAGAGGGACATCGTAAATGAGATGGATATATGCTGGAAAAAATATGATGACGCAAAATAATCATTCTCTCTTCTGCTGTCACCCAATATGTAGCTTCTTCAAATTTATAATAATTTTTAAACTGTTTGTCCTTTGTCTCGTTGTTAATGTATTAGTTAATGTTTATGACCTTCACCAAACTGTTGGATAGCCTAATTTTGACGAAATGTCCCTGAAGATGCTCTAGGAGCGAAAGTAGTTGGACAAGATTTAATAAAAAAAACTTATATCTGCCTTTCATTTGATTAAAAAAATAGATGTAGCAAACTGACTAAGGTTGTAAGGGATAGTGCTGACTGGCATGTAATAGGCTTAGATTATATTAGATTTAGAGAGGTGACTAGCGATCCATCCGTGTACCAGCTAGCAGCAGCTTGTATGGGTACACCTTTACTCCAGTCTTCCTTGCCTGGTATCTTAATTGTGAACTTATTGTTAAAGCTATATCTCGTAGCTGTTGCATCGACAGGTTTCCCCATCACAATATCGACTTTTAGCTCCTCGATTAGCTTTCTGTTCTCAGCAACATGCCTCTGGCTTATATGTCGCTGACTATGGATTAATCTGTGCATCACTGATCTGGCTTCGCCCTGTATAAATATATGAAGTGGGATAGATTCAGCAGGACTTCCAATGATGCAGGAGGAGTTGTTTTTATGATCCCCGTAATACACAGGTATGTTAGCCTTTGCATATTACCTAGCAGTCTTATTGCTCCCACTTGCTGCGTCTTTGTCCACCATGTCACCGAGCCATAGATTATCATGGGTCTAATAACCCTTGTGTATAAGCATGGAGTCATTTTGGAGTTAAGTCCCCAATTCTTATCGCACATTCTTCTACATCTGCCCAGAGACATAGTAGCTTTCTGTGTGGTTTTCAGAATGTGAGTATTCCATGTAAGCCTATAATCAAAATATACCCCAAGTTAATTTGTTTCTTTGGCAAATGAAATCTCCGTTCTTCCCAGCACCGGGTTTTAGGCCTTGTAGTGCTGTTTTTTTGGTGAAGTTGACGATTTTTGTTTTCTGAGCATTGACTATCAGTCTCTCTTATTTACACCAGTCGCCAACTAAATTTAGGGCTACTTGCATTCTCTCAAACACCACCTGAGCACACCTGCTCCTGACAACAATTGCTATATCGTCAGCATATCCTAGACAATAAAAGCCATCTGTGGACAGATTTCTGAGGAGATCAACTACCAAGGTTACCCAAAGTAGAGTGGACATTACTGTCCTATTCTCCAGGGATGCCCTTATCCATCTGCATATTACCGCAGATGCGCCTCGTCTACTCATAGCTCCTATCAAAGAGCTGGTGGTAATATTATTAAATGCCCCTTCTATATCTAAAGAGCGGCCATTGGCATCTCGTTATCTTCCATTGACTTTGAGATAAGCCTATTTAGATCATCTAACGGAGAGTACATAGATTTACTAGGTTGGTATACATATTGACGATTACTTAGAGGATTATCTTTTAGCATTTCGTCTCTGATATACCTATCAAGAAGCCTTTCCAGCGTTTTTGATAGAAAACAAGATTGGCTTATCAGTTTATATGACTTTGGTGTTAGATCTGATACTTTAACTACCTTAATAGGCTTAAGAAGCTCAAGGGTCTACTAAAGATCTATAGCACCATTAATGATGACGATGAGGTTTAAGACATTTATATTTTTAGTTTCTAGTCTAGTGTATATTTATTTAGGACTCTTCAAAGTGTTCACGATTTTGTTTATTTCAGAAAATGTGAGAAACCTTATCAAGAACAGTGAAAATTACTTGAAATTTCAAGAATCCCAACTAATGAACGAAAGCAAAAGACAAGGTCCATCGAGACATCAGGAAGATTTGTTTGGAGCAGATGGAAGTTTCAAAAAATTGGATATTGACTGAGTTTGTTGCTTTTTTATAATATTTTAAAATAAACTTAAAACTAAAAAAGATGTTTTATTGATAAATATTTTAAAGAGTATTTTCGAAATCTGCCATTTTAGAAATCTAAATTTTTGAAATAAGCTTTTTATAAATTAACCACGAACTGTTACCTTAATAAATCTTTTTTGTGTAAAAAATTTCATATAAAATTGTAGGTATTACTCCTTAACGCTTAGTGGCTACATTTTTAGCCACTAAAAATGCAGAGGAAGAACAAACGACGCTAGAACCGGAAACAGCAGAAATTACCACAAATGAAGAACGTAATATAAATGTACAGGAAGTTCGGAAAATACTTGAAAACCTGACGAATAGAAAAGCAGCAGGTAAAGACGGTATACTAAACGAGTTACTGAAATATTGTGGAGCAGCAATGACAAAACAATTAACAATATTAACCCTTAATTTGGATTTGTTTCTTATAGACTACGTCATTTTCAAATATTCAAATTGTCTATCTCTTAAATAATTTACTCATTATTGTCTGTGAAATATAAAACCATTTTTTAAGCTGTATCCTATATTTTACTTTGCCAAAGATACAGCATAAAAGAGCATTTTTGTTTTGTATCCTATAATCTATACATGTTTTGTATACTATACCTATAATCATTTTAAAAATGTGGTCGCCAACCTCCGTTAATGGGGACGGCATAGGAAGAAGAAGAATCCTATAATCTGCTTTGCCAAAGATATAGCTTAATGGAACTTTTTTGTTATGTATCTTATAGTTTTCTTTTCCATATATTCAGTATTGTGAAATATTTTTGTTTTGTACGTATCCCACACTTCATTTCCAATTTCATTATTAAAATTTGTTTAATGAAACGTTTCAAAATGAATTCATTTAATTATACAGGTAAGTATAGCGTTTCCTTGGTTTCAGATAAATACCAATATGACATAATCAAGGTCCGAAAAAATTTTAGCGTTACTTCCACCACCTTCATCTGATATGGATGATTCGAGCGATGAAGAAAATGAAAGTTACACTAAACCATCTAGGACTCTAAGTTCTGATACGGATCCATCTGGAAGTCAAAGTTCTAGAACCGCTGAAAGTTCTGAGGTCGAAAGTTTACCTCCTGAAGTTCAAGAAATTTTTGATACATTATCAGATACAGATTCAGCATCTGAAACTGAACATTTAAAACCAGAGCTATCAACACATCAATCTGCTTATAGTACGCTTAAATCTATTTGCAGTATACCTAAATCTGCTTTGAGTACTCTAAAAACACAATCACAACATCAGATACCTGGACCATCTAAAGATAATAACGACAATACTAACCAACCTAAAGGCAAACTACAAAGTAAACGCACGAAACGACAGAATTTGCTTGAATACCACTGGACGAAAGAAGATTTCAATATCCTGTGAACATTCCCGAAAATAACTTTTCTTATGTGGATGAATTAAAGTCACCATTAGAATATTTCAAAATGTTTTTTTCAGACGATCTATTCGAGTTGATTGTCAACAATACAAACCTTTATTCCGTTCAGCAAACAGGCAAGTCGATAAGCGTTACCAAAGATGAGATAAGTGACTTCATAGCGATACAGATTTTGATGGGTATAGTAGCTATGCCATCATACTTGGACTACTGGAGTGTAAACTTCAGATATAATCAAATATCAGAAATAATGACTCTCAACAGAAAGAAAATTCACCGGTATATTCACTTCGCAAATAACGATCATATAAACAACGATCAGTACTACCGAATTCGCACAGTTTTAGATATAGTGAGAAGAAATTGTTCTATTATAGAAGAAGAAAGACGCCAGAGTCTCGACGAGATGATGGTCCGTTATTAAAGGGAAAAGAGCTGGTTCACGACGACAGTATATAAAATCAAAACCAAAAAATGGGGATTTAAAATAGTTGTTAGAGCCGGCATTTCAGTATTTGTGTACGATTTAATCTATGTCGATAATTTCTTTTCAAGTTTTGATTTGTTTTACATTCTTCGCCATGATTATAGAATTTTAGCCCTGGGAACAATGAGAAATGATCGATTAAAACATTGTGTTTTAGAAGATGATAAGTCTCTGAAGAAAAAAGGAAGAGGGTCGTTTTGTTCAAAACCTGACAACATTAATAAATAAATGTTGTGTCCAAACAATTAAAAGGTATGATAAAAGGCAGTCCCTTGTCCCTCTCTCATAAAACACTACAATGCTCACATGGGTGGAGTAGATCTAATGGACATGTTGGTAAGCCTTTATAGAATTCCCCTAAAAACTCGTCGCTGGTACCTCTCCATATTTGCACAAATGCTAGATATTTGTATAAACAACGCATAGATTGTATAGAAGGGATAAAAATATTTTACAAGACACGTCCAAAGGTTATACTCTCAAATATTTTAGAAAGTGCATAGCAGAGACTCTAACAACAAAGGGCAGAAAAAATAAGAGAGTGTTTGCCGAGCGAACCGAAGAAATTAAAAAAATTAAAAAGTGCGTTCTGCCGAGACCCATCAGAGGAAATACGATTTGATAAAGTTGATCATTTTGATATTTATGATACCAAAGGTAGGTGTAGGTATTGTAAATCAGGAGAGACACACTGATCGTGTTCAAAATGTTCTCTTAGATTGTGTTTAGTAAAGGATAGAAATTGTTTTTATTCTTTTCATAATAGCACATAAGTAAGTTTTACAACAGTTTTGGTTCTTTTTTACGAGAATGAAAAATTATGTTACTTTATTATATATTACTTTTTGCTTTCTTTTTTTTTCATTAGAAAACTAGTTTAGTACTTTAAGTTTCTGCTTTTATTGTGAGGTTTTACCTACAATCTTCGACTTTGTTTCTTATAAGATACATAATAAACTTTTACAATAAATTTGGATATTTGACTATGTATCTTGTGGGATACACTCCATATCTCCCTTGTTTATAAAAAAAAAATAATATAAAAATGGTCAAAATGCCTTGTGATATACCATATCACACTACCTAAACAACAATTTCACAAAAATTACTGTTATATTAAGGCTTGCCAAATTAAGGGTTAATTAAAAAAAATTATAAAACACAATAAAATAGCGGAAGAATGGAGAACGAGCGAACTAATTCTACTATTCAAAAAAGGAGATAAAAATAAACAACAGGGTTTTCGTAGTGGAGAATCGGGTACAGATGCAATATTCGTTATAAAGCAAATTACTGAGAAATGACTAGAGTATAATAGACCAGCATTTCTGTACCTGATTGACCTAAAAAAAGCGTTTAACAGAGTAAGAATCAAAGATATAATCCATCTTCTGTGTAATAGGAAGTTCCCTAAATATTATAAAAACTATCGAAAACATCTACCAAAACAACAAAATGGAAGTCAGAATAGATGGACAACTTACAGAACCTATAGAAACAGGCAGCGGAATAAGACAAGGGGATTCATTGAGCCCCATGCACTTAGATTTTTATCATGGATGAAATCATCAAAACCGCTAACAAAGGAAGAGAATACAGAATGGGAAACAAAAAAATTAAAATACTCTGTTACGCAGACGACACAATATTGATAGCCAAGATGAAGATAGTCTGCAAAGACTGGTCCATAGATTTAACATAATGATAGGAAAAAGGATATTCTAATTAACGTAAAATTACAAAATAAAAGAAATACTATTAGGTACTAACAACACTTAAATTTTTTTTTTAAATTAAATTTTTATGAAAACGCTTAAAACATTGTATACAAAGAGCGACTTTGCATGCTGTACACTGTATACTGGATCTTTTTACACTTTTTCAGTGCTACAAATACAATAATGAACAAACAACAAAGTGTTAATATAAGAGCTGTTACCTTCTATTCATTTGCCCACCCATTATTTTGTGCAGCGGCTTTTTATCTCTTCGATTTCTCTTTTCGTACCTTATTTGATTCTTCGATTTCTCTTTTAATATCCTCTTTTGTCTCTTCACTTTCTCTTATATCATTTTTGAGGCGTCTTTTTTGATATAAGACTTCTCTGTCTTCCTGACGACGTTTCTTTTCATCTTCTTTTTCTTCTCTTCGACGTTTTTCTTTTTCTTCTTGCCGTTTTTTGTTAGCTATATTTTTCTTCATGACGACGTTTCTTTTCAGTTTCTTTTTGATGTTATTCCATTGAGGCAATCATATGCTCGAATTTCTTGCATGTTGGTATCGCTCCTTGTTTTACCACACAAATTCCGAAAATAATTGCTTTCACTTAATCCCAGACTTCTGGCACCAGCTGCTACGTTTTTCTATGGGTTTAAAGATTAAATGAAGCAAAGGTGTTTTAACTAATTTTTTGTATCTCCAAAAAACTCACATAATAACAACAAATATAAGAAATTCGATTTACATTAATAATGATCGCCTACAATTGATACTGATTTTATAAAACAGTTTGCCAATATTAATACATATTATAATAACATGCCACCTCAGCTGGCTTATATAAGAATAACCACACGTCCCTGGAACAACACACGCCGTTTATCCCGGGAGCCGAGAACTTCGCATCTATAGAAACGGCGAGCAGAACATTCGGCGATGAAAGAGAATTCTGGATACGTTAAAGAACAGGGACCGCAATCAGGAGTGATACAACAATACTTTACATTGTAGCAAAGTATTTCATGCATTAAATGTTTATCTTGTATTTTTAAAAATGATTATGTCTCTGTATTCGATTGCAAATTGTTTTTGCTGGCCTGAAATATTATATTCTTGTACCTTCACTTACTCTTTTCAACTCTCAGGGCGATAGATTCCTGTTATGATGTTGAATATTTGTTGTCAATAGTACCTATTACTATTGACAACTTAGATTAAATTTAAACAGATGTTTAAAAAAATATACAATGAGTTATTTTATAAAGCAACGTGTAATAAAAACGTTGTATTTGTATCATTAAACATAAATAATGTGTATAACTACATTGATACAAAATTTAACATGGAAAAACATAGCTTTAGCTGTTGTCGTTGTCATTTAAATTTGCCACTAAAAATTGAACCATTAATACCGTCTGGAGCGAAGTTACATCTGTATATTACCCTGTTCTGTAGTTACATCATATTCAATAAAAACGTAGATGTCCCTGATCTTAATTTTAAATTTACAATATTTGTAAACATTTTTACCCCACTATATTTTTTTCTCCCACTTTCCAATGGAGATACTCGAAAACATTTTTTATTTTTATTTATTTCTATTTTTATTATTTTTTTATTGCTATTTAAGGCCTACAAGAAGAAGGGTATTGGAATGATGAAATTGATGCTAGATAAAGATCGCAGCTCCAGACCTGAACTTCTTGAATGTTAGCATTGATATAATCACAGAATTTAAGTTTAGCAAATATTATTTGACAACTGATGTGATATCTTCTTATAATGTAATTGTCATAGTTGAAACTACTTATTCCATAAAACTAGAACTGGTGTTGGCAATATTCAAAACATGATAATGGAGTTAGTTAGGAAAAGGACAGACTTTTCTGTCGCTAACCATCACCCCAGCAACAAGATCTTTCGATCTACGTGTCTTACCGAATCTTGTATCTCATCCCGTATGACGCAATCCATGGTTTTATACAGTCACCAGGCTTCACTATTCCAATGAATAATTAGAGGACCTAATCCGCAGCATCACCGACAATATCGTCAACTTTTCATCCTGCCAGCCTTACATCTAAAACAGCATTTGCCAAGTTAAGTGTTGAATGAAGTTTAATATTAAGGCGTTGATTCACCTTTTTTACCTTTGAGCTTTAGCGATATAATTTTTTGTTTGGACATTGAGCCATCTGGTACAGGGTCTCTCCAAATTGATATGTTTTGCAGAGTATATCGAAAACTAGATGAAATAGAAAAAAGTAATTAAGATGTCATGACATCTTTTTTTGTTATAGAAACGATTGCCCAATCAAATCATGAAATGACTACCACACATTAGCGAGATACAGGGCGATTATTGAAAAATGTCGAAAACGACAGAAAAACATTTAAAAACTATTTCAGAACTTTTGATAGATCTATTGTGGTAGACGTAGTTCAGTGGCATATAAGATATTTTTTTTTAGGAAGTCTCACTAAAGAAATATAATACCAACTTAAGTTTTTTTTATATGGAGCATCCTATATATTTTGACATTTTTCGGTTACATTTTTAATTCTCGTTCAACTGCTATTGACATGGTTATATTATCTATTTTCAGTTGTTGAAGCTACTCTCCAAATAAAATAGTAATGCATTTAAAGCCCTTGTGGGCATGCCTTTTGTCCATACAGTTAAACTGACTGCCAGTATTAGCCACCACTACGGTCTCCAGTCTGCAAATTGCACATAAAATCAGTTACGAAAAGATATATCATTAGGATTGGTAAGATTAAAACAATACTATTTAGTAATTATTTTATTAAAAAAATAAAATAGAGAAATTTGAATGGGCTAGAATTGTAAATTATAAACAAAAAGTAGTCAATTCGATGTATGTATATATATATACTAATATATAATATATATATAATATATATACATATATATATATATATAATATATATATAATATATATATAATATTATATGCTTATAAAACCCTTTGGCTTAAAGTAATTGGTCTATGAGATAAACAATTTTTCTAGTGACAAGATAGTATCTCTCTCATCTCAATTGACTGTAACAAAATAGGTTGTAGCATAATTAAAATTTTTAAATATTTAACCGTACTATTTGTAGTACTTCAAAGACCAAGAAACAAAAAAATTCACTTTTTATTTAAAGTTTTATCAAAAGGTTTTCGACATTATTTGGACATTTATTTAATCAGTTAATAGCCAACGACAATTTGTTATAACTTGTCAACAGCCTCTTTTGATACGTGTTCAATTTAATCGCTGAAATGGTTTACACTTTGCAAGAAAGAATCGAAACTGTAGGTTTATACTAAAAAAATAATAATTGATGCAAGAGCTGCTGGTAGAATGTTTACTGAAAACACATCACAATAGACATGCAACTCATAAGTATGTGATTGAACTGATGGAGAAATTTACAGCAACAGGGTCAGTCTGCAATAAAAAACATAACCAACAGGGACTTGTAAATAAAGCAATCCAAGTAGCTGCTTTATTGCAAGTTAACTTAGAGGCTTAGCAATCACAGACGCTGTCAACAATAAGCAGTACAATCGGTGTTTTCATCTTCTATGGCCTTCCGACTCCTCCATAAATTTAAGTTTCATTCATATAAAAATTAAATTAGTACAAGCGTTAAATGAAGAAGGATTTTTATCGTCCGTCTCGGAATTTTGCGAATTAATGACACAATGTGTCATTAAAAATCCACAATTGTTAAACAATATTACTTCTCGGATGAATACTTATTCTCATTAAAAACGGTTTGGTGAACAGACATAATTTTCCCATACTGGGCTGAGAGTGATCCACATATTGTATGCGAATTTCACATCACCGGGCATTCTCAAAGGTTAAACGTATGGTGTAGTAACATAACATAACATAAACAATACTGTGCGAAAATTTTGAGTTTTCCGGTCTTGGATAGGTAGAAGATGACAGATAATGGATTGGCCACTTAAGTCACCGGATTGAACACCTCTGGACTTCTTTTATGGGGGTAATTAAAAACAAAAATATATGCTACTCAACCAGAATCTCTAGATGATTTACGGACAAAGAATAGAGCGATGAATGTCGACAATTAAATGCAGACGTGTTTAAGCAATGTCAGAGAAGAATTTCAAAATAGATTGAACTATGTATGGAAGGGATAATTGACAGTCATTTTGAACAATTATTTGTAAACATTTTTGGTAGTGAAATGTTCATTCTAAATGTGTGCAATAAAATTGTTAATTTTTTTTTCCAATTAAGTTTTGTATTTTGTATTTATTTTTCTCATAAGCTAAACCCTTCAAGTATCATGCGTTGTACATTTCTGAATCAGTACAAAGAGGAGAATCCAAATATAAAATAAAAAAATGGGGAAGTAATTAAAAAAAAATAAGGGATGATAGGGGGGCGAGAGGGTGCGATTATTTAGCAACTCAATATTATATAATATCTCCCCCTTCAAATATTAATTAATGTGTTTTTGCGTTTTTCCTAAAAATTAAAAGTTTCAAGTTATTTAAGGTGGATAGTTTTATCTGAAAAGCCCTGTATATATATATATATATATATTATATATATATATATATATATTATAATATATATATAATATATAATATATAATATTATAATCATTCATTATTCTCAACATATTCTACGATTATGGTTGTAGCCTCCCTTTACATATTCATTCTTCATATCTGCCCACGATTGTCTAAAATTCGCTTTTCTGTGCATGTTATACCAGCTTGTTTCGTTAGTGTTTAGTCCATCTTAAATTTGGACTCTTCTTGTCTCTTAATGCCTTGGATTCTTCTCTTGATGTGCCTATCCGTTACGAATGTTGGCGATCATCATGGCAATCGTTATCTTAACTTCAGCAGCGCGGAAAAGCTGCACAGATGTTGTATTGAACCAGATTCTGAGGTTCTTTAACCAAGATGTTCTTCTTCTTCCTGGACCTCGCTTTCCAAATATTTTTCCTTGTAGGTGGACTTGAAGGAGAGCATATCTGGATTCATTCGCATATGTCGGAAGAACTGTAACTTTCTATATTTGATGTGGTCAGGAACTTCTCGGTTCTTATTCATTCTTCTAAGGACCTTCTCATTTGTGACTCGATCAGTCCACGGGATCTTAAGTATTCCTCCGATATTGCCACATCTCAAATGCTTCCAGTTTTCTGCACATAATCTTATGTTCAAGGTCCACGATTTCAACGCAATAAAAAAGGACAGAGAAGACGTAGCATCGCAGCATTCTTACTTTTGTATCAATAGAGGTTGTGACTCTGAAGAAGGCCTCCATCCGATTGAAGGTGGATCTAGCTTTTCCGATGTGTACTCTAATCTCCTGGTTGTAGGTCCACTCTTCATTTATTACGGTGCGAGGTAGTTGTAGTGAGTCACTCTTTCTACAGGGGATTGGTTAACGTAGAGTTGACCTTTGTTATACTTTTCTTGCTAATTACCATAAGCTTTGTCTTCTTAACGTTTATATTGAGTCCATATTGTTGACTGTAATACGTGATGTTGTTCATAAGAACTTGTAGGTTTTCTAAGTTGTCCGCAAATACTATGGTGTTCATCCAATAACTTTTTTCAGTTTCGTGCAAGCTCTTGGATACCACAGTGTAATTCTAGTGGATCACTTATTGTCAGTTCTTCTCGGCTAAAGTGTCCCACCCACTGCCATTTTTAAAAATTTAATTCTATAGATTACATCAGTAACGTTGGTTTGCCGTCTGATTCATTCTATTCTGTTTCGATCTCTCTCTGTTATACCTAGCATGCATCGCTCCATTGACCTTTGAGTAACTTTCGATATTATCTCTTTCTTTAGCGTCCAAGTTTTGCAGCCGTATGTCATGATTAGTAGACACTGATCGAATTCCTTAGGTGGATTGTCATCTTTGATTTGAATATAACTGCATTTCTACCAAAAGATGCTCAAGCTAGTTTCATTCTTCTGTTGATTTCTGGAAGTAAGGAGACAGATTTATGTATTAATTGTTTCTAGCATATATACTCGTCTACTCTCCCAAGTACAGTGTTGTTTATTATTATATCTTGGACATGCACTAGCTCGTTGTATATGGTTTTTGTTTGTGTCAAGTTCATTTTTAGGCCAACTTCATTTCTAGCTGCATTTAGGTTGCTTATAAATTCTTGTAGTTCTGCAGGATTATTAGCAATCAGAACGATGTAGTCTGCAAATCTTAGATGGCTGAAGTATTCTCCATCAATGGATATTCCTTTGTTCTGCCAGTTCATTTTGCTGAATATATTTTCTAGCCAATGCTTCTTGCCAATGATTAATGCTTTTTTTGTTTTCTTAAAGTTTTTTCTGTTTTCTATTGCATTTTCTACCATGCTTTCATTGTATTTTCTTATGTCTTCTTAATACCTTTCCTTATTGTCTAAGTTCTGTGTATTGTATTCTCTGTATGTTACCACTTACTTTCATTTCCCTAGTTGGGAATATGCAATATGAATAGACTTTACATAGATATGTAGATATACATATATATTATCAGTGAGTGGATTGTTTTTACAATAAACATTTGGATATTCTACTCTTAAAATCGAAGAAATGCGATTCAATTGATAAAATTCACTTGGATCGATGCTTGATGTGAGTCAAAGTTGTCACATGTAAATGACTTTAGAGCCTTTAAGGCGGCTTGGCTGTCTGATAAAATAAAGACTTTTGCCCTACGAGTGTCTCGATTGAGACATTCTTGGGCACTTATGTCTATGGCATGTATTTTCTGCCTGGAAGATAGTTGGGGCGTTTCCAAGAGATTTAGATAGCCTGAAATTGGGCCCAGTAACTCCCACTCCTGCCCTTTCATCTATCTTAGATCCATCCGTATACCATACGAGTGAACCCTCTTCCACTTTTGGCTCAATTTCTTCACCATTTGGTGGATTTTTATTGCCACTTCAAAGGGTGTTTCAAAGTCGAATTTGACTGGCATAGCATCTGTCGGCATGTACCTTAGAATCCAATGGAATTTCTTCCACGATTTTCAGGTGGCCAACTAGATCTCCAGGTTTCATTATTTGTGTCTGTCGCAGTTTTAAGGCGGTAGTTACTGCCTCCCTCCTTATGCAGAACTGCAAGGGAGGAAGGTTCAGCATCGCCTCTAGAGCTGCAGTGGGGCATGTTGACATTGCCCCTGTGATTTCCAGACAAGCTAGCCGCTGCACTTTTTGCAGCTTGGCGTTAGCTGTTGTTTGTTGTGTTTTTGGCCACCATACGAATGATGCGTATGTGACCATGGGCCTAATTATTGTTTTATATGACCACAGAGTCATTTTCGGTTGTAGGCCCAAGTCAACCGGAGTCAACTCGAAGGGTAAAAACAAAAAGCGCCATTCTATATGAAAGGCTGTGGAAACTCATTATAGGCTTGTGACAAAGGGAAGCACAATACATCTGTAACGGTTACAGTATGGCAGGCCGGTGCCGCCTTAGTTGTAACCTGTAATCTGATTTTTGTTTTTAAGTATACACCCATACTATAAAAAAAATTATTCTAGGAATAATAGTCAGTAACCTGCAGACGTTTTTAATAGAATTGTTTTAATGTTAAAAATGTGAAATGATTATATGATCAACAACCAAGGATCAATTAATCCTTCGATATTTTAATACAAAATCTCTTGTAGTACGATTCTAGCCCAATGTACAAACTTTTTAGTAACCAAAAAGCCACATAACATAAAAAATAGAACATGGCATTAAACATGCAGATATTAAAGATCAGTTAAAGATATGTGTTAATCCATATATACAGGGTGGTCCTTAAGTAATTGTACAAAAAGAAACCGTAGATTCTACATTTTAAAATATTACGATTTAAGCCAAATCGCTTTAATAAAATGTTGATATTAAGAAAGATACATTGTGTTAAACTGGAAATTTAAAATTTTTATTTTCGCTATGACTTTCATGTTTGTGAACATTTATGTATAACAATTGATAACTGGGTTCTATTGAACATCAGGAATTATAATTTGATGCATACTTTAATGTAGCTGATAGAGGGCGCCACATATGTGACATACATATGCACTTAACTTTTGTGCTCTTTAAGTTGCCGGTGTTTGTGATAAAAAATATTAAAGATACATTATTTTAACAAAAAAAAGGTATACTTGTTAATAACTTCAAAACTCAACACTTTTCGAGATAATCGCATTTTATAAAACAAATCGATACTTCTAAATTTTGGTATACATGCCTTTAATGAGGTTAATAGTTAACGAAATATTAAATAAAATAAATATACCAGAAGGATAAATTCAAACGGAAGAAATAAAAAGAGAAGCAAGTTCGCTTGGGCAGCATTCGGTAAACTGAACTATATACTCAGAAATCAACAAATTCAATTACAACTTAGATCTAAAGTTTTTGATGCATGCATTATCAGATATTAACTTATGCGGCACAAACATGGACAATCACAAAAAAAGAATATGAATATACTTAGAGTCACTCAACACGCGATGGAAAGAGCAATGCTAGGTATCTCACTTAAGGACAAGAAAACAAACACATGGATAAGACAGAAAACCAAAGTCGCCGATGTGGTGCAAAAATCATTAAAGTTAAAATGGGAATACGCTGGACATGTAGCTAGGAGCGATCTAAACAAATGGCACAGATCAATTTTAACCTGGAGACCATACCAACAGATGACCTATGAGATGGACAGATGATCTGAAAAGGACTGCCGGGAAAAATTGGCTACAAGTAGCGTACAATAAAAAACAATGGAAAGGAAGACTTGAAGAGGCTTATGTTCAGATGTGGACGTGAATGGCTAGACGAAGAAGAAGAAGAAGAATATTTTTATCCCAAACACCGTAACTTAAACAGCAAATGTATGCCACATATGTGTCATATGTGGGGCCCTCTATCAGCTACATTAAATATGCATCAAATTATAATTCCTAATGTTCAATAGTACCCAGTTATGAATTTGGATATATAAATAATGTTCACAAACATAAACGTTATAGTGAAAATTAAAATTTTAAATTTCCAGTTTAAGACCCTGTATCTTTCTTAAATAAACATTTTATTAAAACAATTTGGCTTAAATCGTAATATTTTAACGTGTAGAATCTACGGTTTCTTTTTGTACAATTACTTAAGGACCAATCTGTAGATAACAATATTACTAATGTAGTTATGACCCAGAAAGAAGATTTCTTTTTAAATAGTTTCTTGAATTACAGAAACAGGTAAATTGTACACAATTGATACAAGGAGGACAAACTGGTTAAAAATGCACATTTTTCCTGTTGCTCTTTTTAGTATCTTAGTGTGAATTAATAACTGAATCTAATTGGCATTAAGACATTCTTTATTAACTGAGCTTTAGAACCTTTATCTTAAAGCTTGTAATATTTATTATCTGAACACATCTGTTGCACCAGTGTAAGACTTATTTCTAGTTAATGTAAATTATTTTTATATATCTAAATCATCATCAGGATCCTCCTCATCCCAGTCATCAACTGCATCAAATTCATAAAATATTCTTCCATTTTCAACGTTCTCTTGATTTTCTTGTCTAAAATCATAATATAACTTACTCTCAACAGTCTCAACTCATCTTTTTGACAATATTAACGTACCTTGGTAAATAAGGCAAAATTAATCCATCCCTCGATTTCTTATCAGCATCACTGAGCCCAATTTTAAAGGTAGACAATGTTTCTGGATTAATATCTACAGCTAAAGCCTTTTCTATGATCTGCTTTGGATCAACCTTGTCTACTTTTTGTGTTACTAGGTTTTCTCCTTCAAACCAAAATTCCTCCACCTAAAATAGGCAATAAGATTACAAATACATTTTTATTATAAATAATAAACTCATAAATACCATTATGTGTGGTCATATATACCACATAATATAATATTTAAAAATCTTGTGATTTTGTTCCATCTGCACAGTGGCAGACCAAGGCAAAAGCGGGCCCTATGCAACATAGTAATTCCGGGCCTAATTTTCAATCATTGTGAGAGTTAAATAAATTCCGAGAATTGTGTTTAAATTTAAAAATGTTGGAATAATATTATTTTCCTGAATAAATGACCACATGGTAAGAGCCGAAATAATATTTTTTTTGCTTATAAAAGTCTTAAATTGTAATACTTTCAGTTTTTAGGTTCTGCTAGGTTTAAATCTTGTTCATAAGATTTTAATTCCTTTATTGAAGAGTCACTTTCATCACTCAGATCACATCAATTTATATCCCTCAGATATTTTTTTAATGTTGCTAATGAAAGAATCACATATGACAAAAAAATATTAACATTAAAATGTCATTGAATCTTATTTCAAGTTCTGGAATTTCATCATGAAATAGTTTTCGTATTTTCTGACTTTTTCATCATTATTATATGCAATATCTTTTTATACTTTTGATATACAGTTGATATAAATTATAAAAAAAACACAACAATACACTTTCTTTGAATGATTTAAGATACTTACAATTCAACAGAAATATTGGTAAATCATCTTTTGAACTAGAAACCCTGCCACCAACTGAAGGTGCAGCCAAACAGCATATTCTTCGGGTTTACTATCAATTGCAAATGTGGTTAGGTAATAAGTTAGAAACTTACGACTTGTAGCGATGGTTGTAGACAAAGTGCCACTGGTTTTGAACCAGTGTATTAATAATTCTATATCATATTTGTACGAAAAATAGAATAAAAATCAATATTGTTAATTATTAAAATATCAAACAATTATAATTAATTATAAGAAATATAATAATATAATGTATAAAAAATTACCTGAAATTTAATTTATAAAATATATAAGTATTATTACATCATTGATATATAAATGAAAAAACTGAACTCCAATTTTTCAGGCGATAAAGTTCAAAATTATAGAGTCTATGCATAATCTGCCCTCCTGTACTCCCCATAGTATGCATGCCGGAGGATTTTACGTTCAAGGCATCTTAAATGTTCTTCATCATCCATGTTTCCGAAGTGTAGGTGAGAATTAGCTTGATAAGAGTTCTGTATATCACTAGCTTCGTTCTTTTTGTAGCTAGGCTTGTTGTTAAAAAAATTTTTTAATCCATAATAGGCTCTATTTGCCAGATATATCCATCTGTTAATTTCTGCATTTACTGCATTATTCTGATTAATTTGTGAGCCTAGGTATATAAACTCTCTTACTCCTTCGAAAGTATATGTTCCGATTGTTAGATCTTCAGGTTGTGCTGCTTGTATATAATTTGATACTTTCATATACTTCGTCTTACTAGTCCCATTCTTTTTGTTGTTGCTTCAAGCGCATTGAATGATTCGACCACGTCTGCCTTTCTTCTTGCAATAATGGCGATGTCATCGGCGTACGCTAGTAATTGTAGGCTGCGATTAATAATAGTTCCTCTGGTTGTTATTCTAGATTCTCTTATCGCTTTCTCTAGTGCAATATTAAATAGAAAGCATGATAGGCTGTCTCCTTGTCTAAGTCCTATCTGAGACTGAAACTTTCTGGAAACTCCGTTCTGCACTCTAACTTTACACTCGACTCTTGAGAGGGTCGCTTTCACCAAATTTACCAAGTGTACTGGTATGCTGAATTCTATCATGGCCTTGTACAGTGCGTTTCTTTCAACACTATCATAGGCACATCTAAAATCAACAAACAGGTGATGAGTATCAATGCCATACTCATATGTTTTTTCCAGAGCTTGCCTTAAAAGAAATATTTGATCAGTCCTTGATCTTTCTTTACGAAACCCACACTGATATTTACCTATTATGTCTTCACAATATCCTGATAGTCGATAGTAAAGAATATATGCCAATATTTTGTATGTTACATTTAGGAGGGTTATTCCTCTGTAGTTGTCACATATTGTTTGATCTCCTTTCTTGTGGATAGGAACAATTATACCTACATTCCAGTCTTCTGGCAACTTTATTTGCTTCCAGATCGTTCTACCAGTCTACATATACAGTATGTCAGGTTTTTTTTCTATGCTTTAAAAGTTCTGAAGGAATGCCATCTACCCCAGGTGCTTTGTTTTCTTTCAATTTTTGTATAGCTTGGATGACTTCTACCTCTGTTGGGACGTTATCTTTCTCTCTTTCGTTGTCAATGTCCTCAAGTTGGATTTCTGATTCGTGGAGCCCTGTCTCACCTCTTATATTTAACCTTTCCTAGAAGTTTTCTGCCCATCTTTCTAGTATCGGGTCCTGATCACCAATGATCTCCCCTGTTTTATTTCTAACAATTGATAATCTTGGTTTGATAAATGTTTTTATCACTTTCCTGTTAATCCTCTAATGGGTAAAGTATCTAATAAGAAACAATTAGTATTTGTCCATATACCAGGTAATGTATCCAAAAAGATACTCATTCCATTTTCGTCAGTACCTGCTAATGTATATCCAAAGACACTAACTAAATTGCTGCTTACCTGGCAATGTGTCTTCAGAGATACTACTTTTCAAAGTAATGATCCTATCTGTTTGTTTATAGACAAATCATGAATATTATTTTATACAATTATATGCTGAGGACCTAATTAACTATAATTATAGTTTACCAATCCATAGAATAACTAATAACATATAAAAAATTAATTTACCTACCGAATGACACAAACGAGCACCTTCTCTGGAAGCCATTTTGAGCATGTCTACATAAAACACTCTCTGATTGGTGCAAATCTCTGTGTATGACATTCAAATTAATTTATTTGTTAGCCGAATGCTATATGGAGATGGTACATTTAAAAGCTCGCAGTAAACTTACATTTATGTAGAGGAAGTACATATTAATAAATAATGTATCCTGGAACACACACCGTCAAGTTAAGGGTTAAGTATGTGCACCAAATATGATGTCTTCCTCCTTTTAATGGTGATAAAAAGTACTCCGTCTCTTCCTATTCTATGCAATAACACTTCATTAGTAGTATGATCTGTCCAATGGTATATTTAAAAGTCTAGTAAAGAGCTACATCTGAAAAGCTTCCATCTTACTCATTAAGTCAACATTAACAGTACAAGCTTTAGTGTCATAAATAAGAATAGAGTGGATATAACATTGTACCATCCAATATCAAATTTGCAGATTGAGTCTTTGATTACTCAGAAATTTTCCCATGTTCAAAAATGCTGCTCTTGTGTCAATGTCAACACATTATCATTGTTCATCTTTCACTTTTCCTCTATTTCTCTATCTCCCTCGATTTATCCCTATTCTTGTCTTAAAGCTTGTGTAGATTATGCATACTAAGGTTGATATTTTTATCCAAAGTTCTAATAATTTTTCTGACTTCTTCAGATTTTTTAGTATGGTTGCGTTGGTTTAGTTTCCTACTTTATCTAAGACATTTTCCATGATTATACTATCCTTAGTATGAGAGATATATGGCACAGACAATTTATATTTAACCCAACTCTGGAAGTGTTGGCTTAAATTATTCAATAAATTTCAAAATAATAAGTTAATTTTGCATAAACTTACCTGTTTAACAACTTTTCCTCCTAATTTTTTATAAGTATAAATAACTCGTCCCTTGTCTGCATCTTCTTTAGGTTGCAAACTTAAAGTAAGTGTACTCAAATGTTCTAACAATTGGTGAATTCTTAGTTTATCTTCTATCAAGTCCTGGTGTAATATAGTAGCAATTTGTTGTACACCTAGAAGTTGTAATAAATATCATGTAACTAAATGTGACTAGAAGTTTTTTAATATAAGAACTGTCCTTAAATACTTACCATTCAATCTTATTTTAAAAACTAACCTATTTGATTTTTCAAAATATTCAAAATCCTGTAAGTTTCTGCAAGACCATATTCATACATTACATGATCTAAGGAATCAATAAAAATAACATCATTGCTTGCCACAGCTTTAATAAGGCTTTCCAAATCATTTATTTTTGCTTCATTGCTCCATCCCAATTTATCACTAACACAGTCATATAAAACTAGACTATTATGTTCTAGCCTATTTTTAGCTCTACCAAAAGGTTCTTGAAACACGAAGTAATGAATTTTATTCTTCGGTCTTTGTGTGTGTGTTTTTAACAGAAAATCTAAAACTGGTTTGCCTCTTGCATGTACAGAATCTAAAATAAAACAGTAGAAAGAGATATACACATAATACTGGATAACGAACCTTCTATTAATACAAATTTGGTGTAAGGAATAGTTGTCAAATAATTTCTCAGCATTTTATTGCGTTATTTTGATAAATAAATACAAGATAATGCTATTCAAAACATTTTCACGTTGTTTAGTTCATAAACAATAAGGTTATATTTATTATGACTATGACAGTAGTACTGACAACTGACACTGACAAGTCTTTCATAAATCAGACAGGTTGAAATATTTGGGTGAGATCAATGACGTATAATATATAGACTACGCAGTCCCCTATTCTCGCTATAGAATCGAGTGTCCCACGGTTCCTAGACTTACTCCGGTTGCCTCCACGGTTCCTAGACTTACTCCCGGTTGCCTCTTCCGACTGGGGTGGGGATGCTTGAGTTACGTCACAGGAATACACAAGAATACAGAACTCTTATTGCGATTGAAACTGAATGTAGAGGGCAGGTCGATTGCAGTGTCATGGCCGATATAAATGGTATAAACAAAAACAAACATAACATTCGAATATTTACCATTGCTTTTCCATGTTTAGTTTGGTTTAAGACGAGTTATTTGTATCATTTAATAATGGAAATTAACCTTAATGATATCTTTGAATATTGTGGTGAAGCAAAGAGTCCATTGGTTGAAGGGGAAGCAGTTTTCAAGTGATGAATTCCTAAATTTTAACTTTAATGTTTGGAACTGGCTTGTGTATTGATGATGAATCCTATTTTGTGTATACCTGGGAACCCAGAATATAATATTCTGTGTAATGTTTGCCTTAACGTATATATGCATTATTATATCTTATGTTTTTAATATGTTAATTTTTATTTTATACTATTTTTTGACATATGTAAGTACTTTATTGTATATTAACATAAATAAATAACTTTAACTTGGCTTTATTGTAAAATAGTTCATTTGATTACATGAAATTAACCTTAACTTGAGATCACCTCTCAGAAAATATAGCACATGATTTGTCTTTAAAAAATTGCATAATAAATTATTTTTTTATATAATAATTGCATAATAAATTAGTTTTTCAGTTTATTCTAGATTGGATTTAAAATACTTTAACGTAGTCATAATGCTGAAATTTACTAAAAATAATTAATAATTATATTCAAATCAACAGCTGTCTGGTTTGTTTATACCACTTTTATGCCTGGTATTGCGGTATTATAAAACATTTTACTTGCTAAGTAAAATTTAGTTTGAAAGTAAAATAATTTACTCTGCAGATTTGCGTATTTTAAACACATAGTAAATTAATTCTGGAAGTAAATCTGCAAACTAAACTATTCCTTAGTTTTCTACCAAGTAAATTTTATTTAACAAGTAAATATGACAGTTTCAATGTCTTTTCGGCTGGTGTGAAAATATTTAGATTTAATAATATTTTGAAATGTCTTCAGTATCATCAGTGTCAGATGTTAATTCTCCAACTGTATCTAGTGTTGATAGTGACTGGTATTTTTCAATAAATATACAGATGGATTGTGATGCAAATTTAAATGTAATCAATGTAGTTGCTAGATGGCCTGGTTACTCCCACAATAGTCATGTATTTGATAATTCTCTGATAAGAGCTCAGTTTGAAAACAATGAGTTTTGTGAAACATATTTACTGGGTGATAGTGGTTATCTATGCCGAAAATATATTTTAACTCCCTTACATGATCCACAAACGCCAGCTGAAAGGAAATACAATTATACACATATCCACACACAGAATACAATTGAAAGAATGTTTGGTGTCTTAAAGAGAAGGTTTCCTTGTTTGTCTACGGGACCAATGGAATAGAAACACCACTAAATTGATAGAAATAAAATCTTCCGTCCTTCCATGATACTTCAGGCCTTCAAAGCGACAACATCAAATCCCAATAAGAAGTCTCAGATTAGGACACACCTCTACAACACATGAAGACTTGTTGAAGAGAGAAAAGTGTGTTATGTTTGTGAATATAAAGTGATAATGAAGCACATACAGTTGCAAGACTATATCACCTCATTCCAAAATGTAAAGAGTGTCTAGTCAGTGTAAATAGAGCTATTCCAATTATAGTGGCAATTTGTGTATTGCATAATATATGTAGAAGGAGGAATGATGTGCTGACTGATAGTGAAGATGGCAGTAATCACGCGGAGTCAGAAGATAAAAATTTAAACAAGGTCACTAGAAATCAAGATAATTTTGCTGTAAGAAATGCTGTCATTCGTACTGCATTTATTAATTAAATAAAATGTTTATTTTAAAATTATTTACGGTTCAATAAAACATAATATAAGAATTATGAGTGTTTTAATTATTGTATATGTATTTTTAATTTAACAAAAAAAGTGTTGACAATTCAAATAGTCACAGAAATAAAATTAACTTAATTGTGTCAACTTTTTCTTATTAAACTCTGGTAATAAATCTATGAAACAAACTAAATATAACACCAGTAACTTAATGAATATGATATTTATGATACTATAATGAACATGTATTTTTATTACAGAATTTTTCTACAATAAATACATACTTATAAGAAAGTGTTTATACCCACTTTTAACAGATAACTTTGTGAAAAATAGGCAAAATGTTACGGGATCTATTAGTATTTCATTTATCTATAATATTCTCAAGCGATACATTGTCATTTCAAGGAAGTCATGAAAATAAGATCATATCAGCAAGTAGATACATAATCCTTTCATTTTACGGTATTTGAAAAACAAAGTATGTACATATATTTCAGTTTCATTGTTCAGTTTTTTGTGTTTATTATTATTCTTGAGTAAAGTGTTTGATTTTAAGACGGCAAAATGGAATTTGTGTTGTAAAAATATTAGATGAAATAAGCATTCCTTAACTTTTCCAGAGGACACAGCAAGGTTTGTAAATTATTATTTCCTCTTAAATATTGTTTGGGTACCAGTATATGATGTCATTTATATGATACTTCTACAATAATAAGATAACCAATTTTTATTTTAATAACTAATTTACAATAATATAAAATTAACCAAACGGTATTAAATTTCTAAATTCTCGAACTCAACCCCATATTGATGTTTCAGTTGTAGAATCTTTTCTTTAACTGCCAACTCTTTTGTGTCTGTTTCTCTTTTCTCTGTTTCTGTTTTTCTAATTTTAAAACGTCTCTACTTAACTCTTCCTTTTCTTTTCTAATTTTAAGAATACTTAATTTTATTTTTTCCTTCTCTGAATCTTCTTCACACTTATTATTCTTTTTGTGATGTGGGACTTAAAGGCAAACTAAATGCACGACCAAATACTTACCATGTCGAGATAGCATTATGGGGTTTTTTCCTGGTTTTTCCCTCATAATTTACTATGGAATCACTAACAGGAGAATTTTACTGTCATCATGGCATGTGTTTGTCTTTTTAAAGATGAATTACATGCTATGATTTTTTTCTGACAGATATTCTCAAGTTAATGTTGATTTCATGTAATGGAATGAACTATCTTATAAGTAAAGTCGTTCCAAGAGCACAACTCAACAATATTGGCAATATCATTTTAAAGTCGTCTACTTTAAAATGCATAATGTATGTCTGAATTGTCAATATAAATGAGTCAGATAAAATTAAATTATTAGAAGAATTTTTCACTAAGTAACAAAAAAACAAAATTTGTTTTTAGTGTTTGTATTTTGAGAACAATTTCTGAAGTGGAAATTGAAATGTTAATAAACATATTTTAACCTTTAATTGGGGCTTATTCCCAGTTAAATAGTAATTAATTTAAAATGCCACAAGAAAATAGCTTCAGAACAACATTAATTACATATGTTTTACCTTTCTGTTACTGCTTGGCATTTTGCAGGGGTGACAAGAAATTTAACATATCTTGGCAACAGATGTTTCTACCATCGCATCAGTTACTTCTGTCAATACTTTACTAAAAGTGGACCTTTCCATGGTAAAAAAAAATAAAATATAGTATATAATAAAATAAAAAGTAAATAAAATATAACATATTGGAATATATTCACTCAATTCTTAATATAAACAACATATCTTGGTTTCATGTGCTAAAGCATTTGATCTTTGCACTTGTCTTAGATGGGGCTGGAGACTTTCGAACCAAATGCAAAGACAATTCCCTCGATAACTTAAATATCTTTTAAAATACGGCTTCCACTAATTCCACTGGATTTACCAAATCTCGCAAAAGTCTTCTCTGAATGTTTTCTTCATCCCTATCAATAAAATAATTTTGTTTACAAAACATAACCTAAATAAATAATATACTATCAAAGAATATAGACGCTTATAAGCGTCTATATTCTTTGATACTATAATTAAAAATATCTTTAACAAACCTTCTAATAGCATCATCTAATTCTTCTAATAACTCATCGTTTAGAATCCGCCAAAATTCTGGACTAAATAATTCATTTTATATTTTTATTAACTACACGTTATTCCCATCTACAAATAGTATGAGATTAAATCATCTCTTTAAATTGAACCTGTTATCAGAGAATATAATATATTATGTTAGCAAGATAACGTAAAACGTTACCACATAACGTTTTTTTTACAAACGTTATCTGTGATACATGATCATGATACATGATACATCACATCATTTATTTTATTTATAAAACATTTTTGTTTTGATACATCCATCCAATCACAGGGCTGATTTTTAAGATTCAAATTACGTCACAGGAATACAGTTCAGCTTAATGTTCATTGGTTAGGCGGAAGGAGGCAACCGGAGTAAGTCTAGGGAACCGTGGGTTTGCCTCTTCCGCCTAACCAATGAACATTAAGCTGAACTGTATTCCTGTGACGTAATTTGAATCTTAAAAATCAGCCCTGTGATTGGATGGATGTATCAAAACACAAAATGTTTTATAAATAAAATAAATGATGTGATGTATCATGATCATGTATCACAGATAAACGTTTGGTAAAAAAAAACGTTATGTGGTAACGTTTTACGTTATCTTGCTAACATAATATATCGCTTCTCCGGAGCAACAAAGACGTAAGTGCAATTTTTTGCAGTATTTGAGTTACATGTGTCCAAAAGAGTCAGAACGTGCCATTCTATCGGATGAAACAATACCATAAAGGTAGTACATTTATTGGCCGCTAGAAAGCAGTATGCGTCCGTTGTCAAAAATTATGTACTTTCTGCCATAATGTTGGAACGAAATCGCCGCAAATGTCCAGTTGTTCCAAAGACTGTCGAACGGAAACACTTCGTTTATATTTCTACAACGACCATAAGTGTAGATTGTGACAAAATAAAATAAAGTTTTTGGTGTAATCATCAGAGAAACATCAGCGTAACGGACAGTTGTGTTAGTGTTCCGCCAAGAAAATTTGATATCTCTGGCGACTTGCTAGATGATTAAAGCCGTAAGTACACATTTACGTCGTTATGGTTTTGAATAGTAAATTTTATAGTCACTTAAACCAGTATTTATGTCATGGTTAACTCCAAATAACATTGAATATATGTGTGAAATAGTGTGTGTAAAAACAGGTCAATATAAATAGATTTTTTGTATTTCAGTGAAGAAATAAAACGCGAATATAATCTTGAATAATGAAAAGGATTGAGCTGATACTTCATTTAGCCACTCACAATTTACAAGAAGAGAACAGTACTCCAGAGTAACCATCAGTATTGGAAGACAATAATATTTCAGAAACACTCAATGATGCGGTCATTTTATCAGAATTGCAGCCAGTGAATTTAAGTCCGAATTCCTCGAGTTTAGACCCTAATATTAATGTTCCTACATAAGCCTTGTGAACTTGGACCAGGTAGGTACTTTCCTTTTTTAATCAAAATTACTTTTATTGATTTATTAATTACTTTTAGATAATCTACGTATTTCAAACAATTATGAAACACAACCCAGTACAATCATATTCTGTTGAAACCCACTCATCAACCAAGATCACTTTGAGAGAAATGTCTCGAACAGTCTATAATGAGCAACATTCCTCAGATGATGAGAACAGCTTATTTGGAGAAGATAGTGACAACTATGTACCATCAGAAAATAATATATCGTCGGAAAGTGAAACAAATTCGACCCCTACCATAAAAGAGAAAAAGAGACCCAGAAGTCTATTTTCTGAAAATAAAATAAGTCCTCTGAATAATACAGAAAATTGTACGCTCATCAAAAAAGGTAAGAAGAGAGTAAGAAATCCAGAAGAATGGCGAAAAAATAAAGCTAAACTCCTTACGAATTCAGGAAAAAGTTATATTTCAAGAACTGGAAAAGTTGTGAATAAAAAAACAATGGGACCTACTTGCTCTAATCGTTGCATTCAGAAGTGTTCAGAGAAGTTTAGCGAAGACCATAGAGCTGATTTCTTTCAGCAGTATTGGAATCTAGGATCCACTGCAGAGACAACGTGATTATTTGTCTTCTTGTATTGAACCACTTCAGTTGAGTTATCGCCGCATAAGAACTATCCAAACACCTAGAAGACAGAACTGTGCTTTCTATCTGCTTCACAATGGAAAAAAAATGCGTGTATGCAAAACATACCTGATGAACACTTTTGGCATTAAGGAGAGATCAATTAGAACAATTATCCCAAGCAAAAGCTTCTGGGTCTGGAATTGTACCGCAAGATAAACGTGGAAAACATGGTCAACAGGTAAAGATGAACCCTGAAATGATGGTGTCTGTAAAATCACATATAAATTCTATACCCCGTACAGAGAGCCATTACCAAAGGGCTAACACATCAAGAGAGTTTATAGATGGCGGTTTATCGATTGCAGAAATGCACAGACACTATAAAAAGCAACAAGACGATTTGGGCCAGCCTGCTGCAAACCTATGACGCCTACGCCTACATATTTAATACACAATTCAATATTGGTTTCTTTTTCCCAAAGAAAGACCAATGCGACTTGTGTGAATCATTTAAAAACGCGCCTGACGAAGAAAAAGAAAAAATTACAATGTCAGTATAAGTCACATCAAGAGGAAAAAGAACTAAGTAGAACTGAGAAAGCTTCAGACAAAGAAAAAGCAAAAGAAGATGGATCAAATACAGTTTTGGTAATGTATGACCTACAAGCTGTCCTGCCAGTACCTATGGGACAAACATCAGCTTTTTACTATAAATCAAGATTAAATTGTTTTAATTTTACGATATCAGAAATAGGCAATGACAAGACATCCTGTTACTTCTGGCATGAAGGTCTAGGACATAGAGGAGCAGTCGAAATTGGTTCATGTGTCCTTTCATTTCTTGAAGAAATCGCTAATACACATCCTCAATCTGACATAATTCTTTATTCCGATAACTGCGGTGGTCAGCAAAAAAAACAGATTTGTCCTTGCAATGTATTACTACGCAATTAAGAAGTTTCAGTTAAATTCCATAACACACAAGTATCTCATCCGAGGTCATACACAGAAACGAAGGTGATGTAGTCCACAGTATCATCGAAAAAGCTATGAAAAGAGCTAAAAAGTCAGGACCGATATACGTTCCCGATCAAATTGTGTCGATATTAGAAACGCATAGAAAAAAGGAAACCCTCTTCTAGTAAAAGAATTAAGTTACAATGACTTCATCGATTTGAAAACGCTTGCTAACGACATCGGCTTCAACTGCCAGAAAAATATACACGGCGAACAAATAAAATTGTCAGATATTTAAAATAATTCGATTTGAGAAGGAAAGTGATAGGTTCTTTTACAAAACCCAGCTACAAACAGGTGGATTGGAATCAGGCCTATGCTTATAACCGTAAAAAAGTAGACGAGTGACAAGGACAGATGATAATGTAGATGTTAGAAAAAGACCCTGCATACATTTCAAAAATTCCGATCTCTGAAAATAAGAAAAGGGACCTAGAAAATTTATTATCAAGTAATATAATTCCCAAATATTACGAACCTTTTTTTAATAGCTTGTTTTGAATTGTGAATGTTTTTGTTAATTTTTTTAAAGGTGTACAAAAAACAAATGTTACTTTTTAGTAATTCTGAGTAGTGTTTTTGTTATTTTTTATCATTTTGAGTAGTTTGTATTATTTACTGACAATAAAATTATATACCTAAACCTTTCTTTAAATTTTTTTACTGTTACTATTGTAGACCAACTCAAAACCGATTCAGAAACTATTTGAAAAACATTGGAAGAACAATGACGCAACTGGGAGGCTGCAAAGTTCTGAGATCTGTGTAGACTCTAAAAGTTTTATTATCAAAACACTAAGATTGTCATTTAAAATTAGACTAAATTTACCATTAAAAAAAGTAATTTCAGTTTCAAAAATATTCACTTAAACTTTCACTTTGTTTACTTTGCTGTAAAAATATTTTTAAAAGTCAATTTTCCAGCATTTTAGTAATCTGTACTTGCGTCGATGTTGCTCTGGAGAAGCGATATTATATTCTCTGATAACAGGTTCAATTTAAAGAGATGATTTAATCTCATACTATTTGTAGATGGAATAACGTGTAGTTAATAAAAATATAAAATGAATTATTTAGTCCAGAATTTTTGGCCGGATTCTAAACGATGAGTTATTAGAAGAATTAGATGATGCTATTAGAAGGTTTGTTAAAGATATTTTTAATTATAGTATCAAAGAATATAGACGCTTATAAGCGTCTATATTCTTTGATAGTATATTATTTATTTAGGTTATGTTTTGTAAACAAAATTATTTTATTGATAGGGATGAAGAAAACATTCAGAGAAGACTTTTGCGAGATTTGGTAAATCCAGTGGAATTAGTGGAAGCCGTATTTTAAAAGATATTTAAGTTATCGAGGGAATTGTCTTTGCATTTGGTTTCGAAAGTCTCCAGCCCCATCTAAGACAAGTGCAAAGATCAAATGCTTTAGCACATGAAACCAAGATATGTTGTTTATATTAAGAATTGAGTGAATATATTCCAATATGTTATATTTTATTTACTTTTTATTTTATTATATACTATATTTTATTTTTTTTTTACCATGGAAAGGTCCACTTTTAGTAAAGTATTGACAGAAGTAACTGATGCGATGGTAGAACATCTGTTGCCAAGATATGTTAAATTTCTGTCACCCCTGCAAAATGCCAAGCAGTAACAGAAAGGTAAAACATATGTAATTAATGTTGTTCTGAAGCTATTTTCTTGTGGCATTTTAAATTAATTACTATTTAACTGGAATAAGCCCCAATTAAAGGTTAAAATATGTTTATTAACATTTCAATTTCCACTTCAGAAATTGTTCTCAAAATACAAACACTAAAAACAAATTTTGTTTTTTATGTTACTTAGTGAAAAATTCTTCTAATAATTTAATTTTATCTGACTCATTTATATTGACAATTCAGACATACATTATGCATTTTAAAGTAGACGACTTTAAAATGATATTGCCAATATTGTTGAGTTGTGCTCTTGGAACGACTTTACTTATAAGATAGTTCATTCCATTACATGAAATCAACATTAACTTGAGAATATCTGTCAGAAAAAAAATCATAGCATGTAATTCATCTTTAAAAAGACAAACACATGCCATGATGACAGTAAAATTCTCCTGTTAGTGATTCCATAGTAAATTATGAGGGAAAAACCAGGAAAAAACCCCATAATGCTATCTCGACATGGTAAGTATTTGGTCGTGCATTTAGTTTGCCTTTAAGTCCCACATCACAAAAAGAATAATAAGTGTGAAGAAGATTCAGAGAAGGAAAAAATAAATTAAGTATTCTTAAAATTAGAAAAGAAAAGGAAGAGTTAAGTAGAGACGTTTTAAAATTAGAAAAACAGAAACAGAGAAAAGAGAAACAGACACAAAGAGTTGGCAGTTAAAGAAAAGATTCTACAACTGAAACATCAATATGGGGTTGAGTTCGAGAATTTAGAAATTAATACCGTTTGGTTAATTTTATATTATTGTAAATTAGTTATTAAAATAAAAATTGGTTATCTTATTATTGTAGAAGTATCATATAAATGACATCATATACTGGTACCCAAACAATATTTAAGAGGAAATAATAATTTACAAACCTTGCTGTGTCCTCTGGAAAAGTTAAGGAATGCTATTTCATCTAATATTTTACAACACAAATTCCATTTTGCCGTCTTAAAATCAAACACTTTACTCAAGAATAATAATAAACACCAAAAAACTGAACAATGAAACTGAAATATATGTACATACTTTGTTTTTCAAATACCGTAAAATGAAAGGATTATGTATCTACTTGCTGATATGATCTTATTTTCATGACTTCCTTGAAATGACAATGTATCGCTTGAGAATATTATAGATAAATGAAATACTAATAGATCCCGTAACATTTTGCCTATTTTTCACAAAGTTATCTGTTAAAAGTGGTATAAAACACTTTCTTATAAGTATGTATTTATTGTAGAAAAATTCTGTAATAAAAATACATGTCATTATGGTATCATAAATATCATATTCATTAAGTTACTGGTGTTATATTTAGTTTGTTTCATAGATTTATTACCAGAGTTTAATAAGAAAAAGTTGACACAATTAAGTTAATTTTATTTCTGTGACTATTTGAATTGTCAACACTTTTTTTGTTAAATTAAAAATACATATACAATAATTAAAAACACTCATAATTCTTATATTATGTTTTATTGAACCGTAAATAATTTTAAAATAAACATTTTATTTAATTAATAAATGCAGTACGAATGACAGCATTTCTTACAGCAAAATTATCTTGATTTCTAGTGACCTTGTTTTAAATTTTATCTTCTGACTCCGCGTGATTACTGCCATCTTCACTATCAGTCAGCACATCATTCCTCCTTCTACATATATTATGCAATACACAAATTGCCACTATAATTGGAATAGCTCTATTTACACTGACTAGACACTCTTTACATTTTGGAATGAGGTGATATAGTCTTGCAACTGTATGTGCTTCATTATCACTTTATATTCACAAACATAACACACTTTTCTCTCTTCAACAAGTCTTCATGTGTTGTAGAGGTGTGTCCTAATCTGAGACTTCTTATTGGGATTTGATGTTGTCGCTTTGAAGGCCTGAAGTATCATGGAAGGACGGAAGATTTTATTTCTATCAATTTAGTGGTGTTTCTATTCCATTGGTCCCGTAGACAAACAAGGAAACCTTCTCTTTAAGACACCAAACATTCTTTCAATTGTATTCTGTGTGTGGATATGTGTATAATTGTATTTCCTTTCAGCTGGCGTTTGTGGATCATGTAAGGGAGTTAAAATATATTTTCGGCATAGATAACCACTATCACCCAGTAAATGTGGTTTCACAAAACTCATTGTTTTCAAACTGAGCTCTTATCAGAGAATTATCAAATACATGACTATTGTGGGAGTAACCAGGCCATCTAGCAACTACATTGATTACATTTAAATTTGCATCACAATCCATCTGTATAATTATTGAAAAATACCAGTCACTATCAACACTAGATACAGTTGGAGATTAACATCTGACACTGATGATACTGAAGACATTTCAAAATATTATTAAATCTAAATATTTTCACACCAGCCGAAAAGACATTGAAACTGTCATATTTACTTGTTAAATAAAATTTACTTGGTAGAAAACTAAGGAATAGTTTAGTTTGCAGATTTACTTCCAGAATTAATTTACTATGTGTTTAAAATACGCAAATCTGCAGAGTAAATTATTTTACTTTCAAACTAAATTTTACTTAGCAAGTAAAATGTTTTATAATACCGCAATACCAGGCATAAAGTGGTATAAACAAACCAGACAGCTGTTGATTTGAATAAATTATTAATTATTTTTAGTAAATTTCAGCATTATGACTACGTTAAAGTATTTTAATATCCAATCTAGAATAAACTGAAAAACTAATTTATTATGCAATTATTATATAAAAAAATAATTTATTATGCAATTTTTTAAAGACAAATCATGTGCTATATTTTCTGAGAGGTGATCTCAAGTTAAGGTTAATTTCATGTAATCAAATGAACTATTTTACAATAAAGCCAAGTTAAAGTTATTTATTTATGTTAATATACAATAAAGTACTTACATATGTCAAAAAATAGTATAAAATAAAAATTAACATATTAAAAACATAAGATATAATAATGCATATATACGTTAAGGCAAACATTACACAGAATATTATATTCTGGGTTCCCAGGTATACACAAAATAGGATTCATCATCAATACACAAGCCAGTTCCAAACATTAAAGTTAAAATTTAGGAATTCATCACTTGAAAACTGCTTCCCCTTCAACCAATGGACTCTTTGCTTCACCACAATACTCAAAGATATCATTAAGGTTAATTTCCATTATTAAATGATACAAATAACTCGTCTTAAACCAAACTA